CATGAATGATCTCTTTCTAATCAGAGAGTACACATGTGTTGTACATTTTTTATAGAAGAAGATGAAACTAATGGATGAAATATTTAGTGCTTGATCAATTTGTAGTTTACTATTTCTGGTACAACTTGTTGGTGCATCTATCAGGGAATTGATCTCAACATCGTCCGTGATTTGAGAGTTCTCAAGTTCCTTTTTCTGAAGGGTTTTGCTAAATCAGCGAAAGCCGAGGTGAAGTCTTTGATTACTATGGTTGAAACTTTATCGGATTTGGAGGTCATTTGATCGAATTCCACCAAGCATTTTCCCCAATCTTTCGGGCTAACTTTTTGTGCTAGTGTCGATTTACATTGGTATTAGTTCCTCTTTGTCTATCTACAGTCCTAAAGTTTTGACCATTTGGGACTGGGATAGAGGACCCCCAACTCAAACTGAATCTAGAATCAATACACCTCACAAATATCTACGATTCAAGAGTATTCTTGAGTTCCTCTTTGCTTATGATTTTCCTAGATCTACGAAAGCAAGGTGGTGCCTTAATTTTTAGGAGATCTTTTGGGCAAAGATTTTGAACATATGTTTGTGATACTATAGTGCAATTTTGTTGGATTTTGAGGGTGTGTTTAATCAAACCCTGTCATTCGATCTTCTCATGTATTTTGGGCTATTTTCTTTGCTAGTATAAGCCACAAGTTCCAATTTAGACAAGATGATCCGATTAGACCTTCCGAATTGTCCATTACACAAAAGTTCCAAATCTGATATGGAAGTTCCAACTGTCCAAGATACTCTACAATTTAAAGCTCAAACCAAAAGTCCACCTAAAATTAGCAAACAAAATCTACCTAATGCTAATAAAACTTATGATCATTACTGGTGCATCTGCAATATTTTTTTGAATTAAGTTTATCTCAATGGTGAGGTAGCTAGGATAGTTATATTGCTTGCTGGCTGGTCATGTTGTAGTATATCTTGACAATCTCATGTATCGGGTTGAAGTTGCTAACAAAAACACCAGTAAAAACCTGTGATGTGGCTATAGTTCCACAATGGATATGTTTGAGCTCTTGGCATCTTATCAGTCGAGAGTTCACGACTACATTGGATATGTCGCAATGGGCGAGAGTCCATCCTTATTAGGGCAGCTCCAGTTGCCAGTGATTTAGATGAGCAGAGTAGACTTCAGTTACGCGTGGCTGAAAGTTCCATGTCTTCCCGTCCGCTAATCTGCTCGAGCCTATTTGATGACCTTGTTATAGCTCCGTTCCCGTTGGGCCACCTGCTCATCAACTTCTGCTTGCTCTCAATCGAGCTCACCATCACTACACATGGATGGGAATCTCCGATTCACATGTCAAAGGTGTCAAGTCAATCGGTTTAATGCCCAACTCGTAGAGCTAAGCAAGCTAGCATCTACACAAGGCAGAACCATCCCAGACGTGTGTAGCTGCACCAGTAATGACACCCCAATGCCTGCAGTTCCGGATGCCTCCTGTTCCCACCGCATGGACTTGCATCCATGTCTAACTTCCTCGTGTTTTTTCGTTTGGCTCTGACCCCATTTCACTGGACTTTGTTATTGTTGGTTTTGAGGTTGGTGCATCTAATTCTAACATAGGAAAGATTATATAGATAGCAACATCTATTTGGTAGGTGTTGATGTTAACGTCAATTCAGCATTAGGTGTAGCGTATTTACTCCCTCCGTCCATATATAAACATAAGCAATCAATTTACTAACGCCTGCTTGTAAATGACATGCTGCATTAATTAAATGACACGGAAGGGGAGGGAATATATAGGCCAGGAGCTAGGAATTGGCAAGAAATATTTATATTTGTGTGGACAATTTTTAATGCTAAAACCTCTCATCCATGGAGAGACTATTTTAATTTAGTTGACTTCAAATTAAAGATAACCATATCATGTCACAAAATTCCTGTGATTCAATAACCATCGCTACATGTAGCTAGAAGTAAAGAAGAGAAATGGAAAAATATTTGCTGATTTGCGTTGGGTTTAATTTCATATTGGGAAAGCACAATGCAAGTAAGATGGGACACAACTCTTAACTATTAATTAAGCTAGTCTTTTGGGTTATATTAGACCCAAGGCCATGGATGAAACTGTGAGCTCCTGTGAACATAAGTAAAAAACCATGCTAATTACTAATTAGTTTTAGTGGAGGCGCTCAATCATGGGTATGACAAGCTACGCCAAACTCCTTTGCACAATCTAGCAAGCCCGAAGGTTGGGAAATTCAGAACATATAGAAAAACCAATATTCATCCATCAAAGCAAACACTGCTACCAGAAACATTTTCAGTGGCAGGCATTTTTTATTTACAAGAAGTGTTATTTTCTTTTCTAAGAAACATTTTGATTTATTATTTTATTTGTTGCTAGTTCTTCATCTAAAATCTTGTTTGGTTCTCTTCTTTGGCCAACAAGAACGGAAATTGCAGACAATTTTGGTGCTCGTAGATTCTGCCGTCTCTGGCCCTGTTCGCTTCGCTAAAATTTGGCTTATGCTGATGCTTATTTGGATTTGTTCGCTAAAAAGTACTATTAATTTGTCTAAGTCTGGACGAAGACTACTATTCTAAATGCAGCGGTTTATTCAACAGCAGCTTGCACTTCATAGACTAAAAAAACATACATCGATCACATCAGCTAGCATCAAAGCGAGGCAGAACCACCACCCGTGGTAGCTGCACTGCTAACACCCCAACGCATGCAGTTCCGGATGCCTCCTGTTCCCGCCGCATGCATTTGCATGCTGCATCCACGTCTGACTTCGTCGTATTTTTTTTTTTTTGCTTGGCTCCAGCCCCTTCTCGCTGGACGTTGTTCTTGTTGGTTTTGTGGTTGGTGCATTGCAAAAGTAGATTAGGGGATGTCGCACATGCTGCAAGTGTTTCAGAGATATGTTGCAAGCGTTTGTTTAAAATATTTCATCTGTTTTCAGACATCAGTTGCAATCCTTTTTTTTCATATGTTTCGCACATATGTTGCAACAATATGTCTCAAATGTTTCAGCTGCTTCAATTTTATGTTGCAGCACATGGTTTTATGTTACAAGTTGAATATTTCGTGTGCTTCACGCACATGTTACGAGTTTCCAAGTGTTTTACGCTGTACATGTTAAGAGTTTCCAGACGTCAGTTGCAATCCGTGGAAGAAGCCGTCCCAGCTCAACCCCACCACCGGCAAACGGCAAAACCAAGAACCCGGTCCCCGCGCGGTCAATGCGCGCTGCTAAATATAAAGCAAATTCAACACATGCGATGATGATTTTCCTCACTTTATCTTGCTTTTAGGTAAAATATTGATGGTCAAAACGGGTGTTAGTGATCGTCAACAAGCTCCCCCAGCTATCCTTTTGCTCGTCCCGTGCAAAGATGTGGGTTTAATTAGCATGGTATTGTAAGTGTAGCATGTTGGATTAGGAGTTGCTACTATGTAACGCCCTACAAAAACTTATATACAAATAAATACTATTTCTTGAACTGAACATGTTAGCATTTGAAAATCCATCATCGGACTGGGGTTTATAGCTTTCACCTTGACATAAGCAATTGTAGGATTGAGTAGCTAGACAGATACTTTTTCCCCTACTTTGGTTTAGCTCAAACTTCCTGAAGGCTTTCAATAGATTTGAAAAGAAAACTTGCCTAAGTTTCTCAGATGGTACACTCAAGTCTCTCAATGGTGTTTAAAACCTCACCAAGACCATGGATCTTAGCCTTAACATCTATCCTAAAGCTTAGACCCACGAATTTATAAGTTACACATGCGCATCCCTGGTCTTGCTAACCTGTGTTATCCAGGTCCATATTAGCGGTCATTTAGGTAACACAAGTGTCCAATATATGAACAATTATTTGTTTATATATGTTTTATATAAAAAGATGGAGGGAAGTTAGGCCCCATGCTTGGGCTGCTGTGCCTGTTCAAGAAAACTGGGGCTTGGGCTTGGGCCTTGCTAGCCATGGGCAGTCTTTTTTCCCTTTAAAAAACATAGGAAAAAATCCACATCACCTCCTCAACTTTTGCGAAAGTCCGTTTTTCCTCCATAAACTCTAAAACCGGGCAAAACACCCCCTTAACTTTTAAAACCGTTCATCCTACCTCTCTGGCCCTGTTATAAGCAGTTTTGAAGGTGATTTTGTCTTTTTCTTTTTTATTTATTTTGGCTAAATCTTTGAAAAATTATAGTAAATCACAGAAAAATCATAAAATGGAAAATCTAATTTTGTTGGACTCCACATGCGTAGATCTACACATGAACATATAATATGGTATGCTTTAGTACAAAGTTTTTATTGTGGCTTTAGATCTATGCTTTTCTATAATTAATTGGAATAATTCATAGCTGTAGTTTCTATGGTTCAATTGTGATAAAATTTTTATGGTGGGCTAAATAAATTCTATAACTAAATTATACATGATCCAATGAGTATGAAATTTTTACTACAGTTTAAGCATACAATAATTAGCCCATCGTAAAAATTTTATCACAATTAGACCGTAGAAACTGCAACTATGAATTATTCCATTTAATTACAGAAAAGCATAGATCTAAAGCTACAACAAAAACTTTATGCTAAAGCATACCATATTATATGTTTACTATGTAGATCTACTCATGTGGAGTCCAACAAAATTGGACTTTCTATTTTATAAATTTTTTGTGATTTACTATGATTTTTCAAAGATTCAACCGAAATAAATAAAAAAGAAAAACCGCTTATAACTGGACCAGGGAGGTAAGATGAACGATTTTAAAAGTTGAAATAAGTGTTTTGTCCGATTTTAGAGTTCAGAGAAGAAAAACGGACTTAACATGGACTTTTTTCAAAAACATATGGAGTCCCAAAAGTCCACAACCCTGCTAAACACAGGAAGATGGGCTCGCTTTCGTTGGCCCAACAGCCCACGTCTAAATGGAGCCGAAAGGAACCCAACCTAAAGCAATCATCCGGCACAGCCGAACCAGCCCCGATGTCGCTGGTCGCCTACGACGCCTCCTCCGACGAGGAAGACGCCGGCGAGCCTCCCGCCGCAGAGGCGCCACAGCCTGCCCCTATCGGTCCGCAGCCAAGGCCTCCGTCTCCTTCTACGGCGGTGGGCGCAGCTCATCGGCCTACGCCGCCGCCGCCGGCAGCCAGCCAGTAAGCTTCTCCCCTCGCTGTCTTCTCTCTCTAGGGTTTCGCTTGTAGAGATGGGTTTTGCTTGGTAGGTGACCAGCTGAAGGGGCTGCCTGATTGAGTGTGCTGTACTGAAAGCTGAAGCTACTGGCTATCGAATCGCTGTACTAGCAAACCCTGCATCAATACGATTGTTTCGCTTTCCCATATACTTAGCTCACAGTAGCACGACATCTCTGGTAACGAAGGTTCAATTCGGAATGATTATTGGCATGCATGCGTTTTGCAATGCGGAAATGCTATATAACACCGATGCGATTTATTTCTACACTTCTATACATATCTGTTCATCAGGATGTGCTTGCCCTTTCCCTTTATAATAGCACAGCTTCATCCCTTCTCTTTAGAAACCACGGAACAGTCAAGACACCTCTACATCTACCTTTTTCCCCCTTTATAAACATATCAATATATTCAGTTCACAAGCTTAGCAGCAGCACTCAAGGGAACCAAATTTAATCCAACTAAACACTGTATCTAAAATGATAAGGTTGGTCCAGGGACATCTCATTGACCACAATGGTATTCCCTATTTTGAAATGTTTGGAATGCTTAATGGTGTCTTATGAATGCAACCGACCTCATGTAGAGTACATTTTTGTTTATGGCCAAAGTAACTATGTGTGAACGTCAGTCACGTATAAATTCTGGAATGATAATGCATTTGTTCACTACTGCTACTGCATTGGGTTCTTCACAGTCCTTCCTCTTAATGCTCACCATGTACCACAATTAGATGATGATTATGTTCTACTTTAGCGTGCTAGTATAAATCAATCTGGAATTTTTTTACTTATATAAGACCCAATCGATTTGGTGGCGGTTTCTGGGTCGTGCTAGATTTCTCTTACCATGGTTTATACAGGCTGCTTGTCGTCAGAACGAGGCACTAAGACTGTTCTGCTCCCTTTGCATCGGCCTGATAGTTTCTCTAAACTCGAACAAGTAAGAAAGAGCATATTTGCCTTGTCCCTGATATTCTTCCTCTCTTTTGGGAAAGGAAATAAAGGGTTCTCCTAATAGGATAAGTTGGATTATTGAATGCCCTGTGATGCTTTGGTTTATTGGGCAAAAATGTTGCAATTGATATTGGTTATTTAAAGCAGACACTTCCCTTCTGCATTTAATCTCCTTTATTTTGGTTATTGGCATTGTTTTTGTTTCTTCTGATTTTTTTTTCAGTTTTAGCTGCATGCTGAAGTGTTATTCTGGATGTATACTTGACTACTTGTCAGTTTCCTAAATGCACAGCACATTATTACCAGTACCCCCACCATTTACTTTATAGGTCTGATATGGTATTGTTTAGTTCTGAACTAATTGTTTTGGTCGTTTTGGTCCAGGAGTGTAGCACTGATTAATTCGAGTAACGTTTCTCTGCCCACACCATCATTAGACCTACCAGATGTTGCAGACCTCTTTGCTCCCCCTGCAGACAATGCATCAAGGAAGAGAGAATCAAACGGGTCTGCTCTTCATGACTCGTGCAGTAAAATTCCAAGGATGCAATCACAACCCCAAGGCATAAGAAGTGCTGCAGGGAACACTCTAATTCCACCACAGCTTCGTGGAAGGTTAGTTTTTTCTTCTTCTCTTCATGTCTCTTTCGGTGTCATGTGGGATCACCTTATTATATGTATTCTCTCACCCCCTCAGCTAACCAATCAAATGCTGTTTGTGGGCTTACTCCCAGAATGTATTTGCCAATTGTTCACATTATGTATTTTGTATCCCTGAGTAATGTCTATCTTTGGTTATTGCTTCACAGGAGCAATGTTGTTACTGAAGACATGAGCAAACTCTTTGTGGCTAAACGAAAAGAGTAGCATCTTAACACTTTCTGAACAAGAACCTATTTGGACTTTATAGACACATCTACTGGCTCCCATAGTCCCCTGGATGTGGCGGCATGATTCAACGATGTTGCTGACTCCTAAAGAACTGAAGGAAGGATGTTAATGGTACCGCAACCGACCCTGTTCGCTGATGCTGAAATTTGGCTGATGCTTATGCTTATGCTGAAATGTTGTGAGAGGAAAACATTGTTTCATGGCTGAAAAGTAGTTCGAAATAAGCTCAAGCGAACAGGGCTCTCTTAGAACATTTATTTGGTGCTCACTTGCGTTTCCATGTTCAACGATGCTACATGCCTGATGTTGGATGCATGTAAACTCTGCCCGTGTTTAGTTGGGGGCCCAAAATCCGAAATTGGGCCAGTTTTTGGAGTTCGGAACTAAACGGGGGGTGAAAAGCGGCCCACAGACGTTTTATGAGAGCCGACGGCGGCCCAAAAACCACGTGGCACCACGGCGTCGGCGAGCACGACCCTCCATTCCCGCATTCGTCAACAACTTCTAGCCTCGCTTTCTCCCAAGACGCATCTCGCCTCGGCGGTCCCGCCGCTCGCCGCCGAAGGTAGCGCACGCGCCCGCCTAGATCCACCACCCCGGCCGGTAGATCTCGAGGCGTGGCGGATCCGATCATTGCCGCACGCCGCGGCGTCCCTAGATGGATGGCTTCCCGATGACGGCGGCTACAACGGAGGCGGCGGCATGGGCTTCGACGGCGCTCTCGGGCGACGCGACGCGCGCGAACTTCTGCGGGGCGAACCCGCTTTTGGGTTCGTCGGTGTACGAGGGCTTCACCGACCCGGCGCCACCCTTCACGGGGTCGAGCGGCGTCAACCCTCCCCGCTAGGGCCTGGATTCCCTTGACCTCAATGACGGTGGGGATGGGCTGCCATGGACGGCTACGACGCCGACCCTCGGTCAGACCCTGCTGGTAGCCGATGGGGCCACCTCCCGTTCGTGTTCCTCGGCGGAACCTCACCTCGAAAGCAGCCTCCCAGTACCCGCTTTGGAGGAGGCGGCGACGGGCGGGAGGGTCCGCGCCACATCGAGAAAGTCGCCGGAGGCGACCGAGTGCCACGCGGCCATCGTGGTCGCGCCTCTGCCTCAGCCGTCGACGGTGGAGGAAGGGCCCGGCGTCGCCGCCGTCGCGGGGCAGTCCCACAGGTGGACGACGACATCGTCAACCCGATGCATGCTACCCCCGTGGGTCACATCCCGGTAGTTTTCCTCACCCATCCTCTATCTTCCATTGCTCATGTATACTATTGTGTTCGAAGCATTTGCTTTGTTCTCCCCAACTTAGCCTGTTAAATGGTGTGAAATTATTTCTTATGAAATCGTTTAGGCTAGGAACGACAGGGGGAACTAGTCAGAGCCCAATATAAGCAAGTTTTGCTAAATCTGGTGCCACCAAATTGATAGTGGCAACTGTATCCGCGGCTGCATGAACAAGTCGGGGTGGAGAGATCTGATTGCAAGGTACTATGCAAAGCAACAACCTTGGTTCATGACAAGGACCAGTTCAAGAGTAAATTACGCCACTCAAGCATTTGTGGAATTTTATCAACGACCTCCGTAAAGGCACCGGGCTTAGGCAAAGTAGACGATGGCTCCATCCTTTACTCTTGATGCTTGGTGGGACTCTCGTACGGTGGTATGTAACCAATCTTATGTTCAATCATGTACTGTTAAAATGTTACTATACAATGATTCACCTATGCCGGTTTTCCAGGGACACCCGGAGTGGAAGAAGCTCAAGGACGGGTGGCCTCCGTACTTGGACGATTTGGACCGGATGTTCGCCGGCAACGCTGTTGATGGCTCAACGTCGTTCTGTCCTTCCCAAAGCAATACAGTTGACGGTGAAAGTTCGGATGACGACTCCAATGATGAGCACGACGACCAACTTACGCCGCTTAGTGTCGGTACTAAGAGGGCAAGCAGCACCAGCACAACTGCCTCCAGCCCGAGCAAGCGGTCCAAGAGCCCCGCTGTCAGGACCATGGATGCTCACATGAAGGAACACAATGAGATTTCAAGGCAGAGGCTTGAGAGGATGACAACAATGTGGCAAGAGAGGAACCAAAAAATTGAGGACAACAGCAAGGCGCTGGAGAGGAAGGTGGAACTAGTGCTACAATTGGCAAGACAGTGTGGTGCAACTGAAGAGACCCCAGCTGAGTGGATGGCCGTGCTCAAGATCGTGCAGAGTGAGCCTGTTATGAACTTCTTCATAAGCTCCTCGTCCCAAGGAAGGATGCTGACGATTAAGCAATACATCGGGGTCCTCCCCTAGACCTTATTTTGTTAAGCTTTCTACGTAGTTACTAAGTTATGTCATTAGAACTATGTGAGGTGTGGTGGGTGTCTTTGGTCATTGACCTAAGTATGTCATGTCGAACACTTGAACTGGTTATTTGTAGTATGATTGGATATGGCTATGATCTGTTGATGTATGTAGTGCATGAGTTTGAGTAACTGGCATGAGTCAGTTTGAATAGGGATGCATGCTAATGTTGCCTAGTTGATGTTGAAAACTGACGTGAACTGTTTTCGTTTTGACAGGAGGATGTCCAAGCAATAGTGACTGGGATGATGTCCTGAAGGCAAGATTGTTATGAGAATGATTTGGACGAGTTCATCAGTGACTGGATGGAGGCGGAGGATGATGACGATGCTTTCCTGTACGGTATGTACCAGTACGCCTACCACATTGACAAGCACTTGTCAAGGTCAGAGTATAGACAGCCAGTCATTAGTGGTTTGGAATGGGTACATAGTAAACTAGGAAATAGGAAGGCCTATTATAACATGTTCAGAATGAGCCCTGATATATTCCACAGTCTGCATGATGTGTTGGTAGAATCATATGGGCTGAAATCTAATAGCAAATCCGCATCTATTGAAGCCCTTGGGATGTTTCTGTGGATGGTGGAGGCTCCACAATCTGTTAGGCAAGCGGAGGACAGGTTTGAGAGGTCACTGGGGACTGTGCATAGCATGTTTCATAGGGTGTTGAAGTCTGTTGTCAAGCTTGCTGCTGACATCATTAGGCCTAATGACCCAAATTTCAGCACTGCATGATAGGCTAAGAAATCCTAGGTTGTATCCCTACTTCAAGGACTGCATAGGGGCGATAGATGGGACTCATGTCCCCTGTGGTGGTGCCTAGTGATAAATTTGTGCAAAGACTGTGTGTTGTAAGGGGATGACAACACGTAATGTCTTGGTACATGTGTGACTTCGACATGCGGTTTACATTCGTGTTAGTTGGCTGGCGGGTTCGATTACATGACATGAGGGTCTTCATCGATGCGACAACAACATACAAACAACGTGTTTCCACATCCACCAACAGTATATAAATTAGTTGGTTATACTTTTGTGCATGCGAGTACAAGTTCGTGATACTAACTGTTGTTTCAATGTTATAGGCAAATATTACCTTGTGGACTCGGGTACGCTAACCGACCAGGTTATCTTGCACCGTATAAGGGAACAAAGTACCACCTACTGAGAGTACCGAGAGGCACCGAACCACAAGGTAAAACGAGATCTTCAATTATGCACATTCGTCACTTAGGAATGTCATAGAAAGGTCATTTTAGAGTGTTGAAAATGAAGTGGCGGATGATGAAAGAAGTCCCTAGTTATGCCCCCCATATACAAAGTCAAATCATTGTTGCATGTTGTGCCCCATAACTTCATAAGGGTGAGTGGCATAGGGGATCGGCACTTTGCTCGGTGTGACCGGGATAACAACTATGTGCCTGGCGTGAAGCCGGTGCCGATCAACCCGAAACTATTCCTCCAAGCGGTTGTTACGATTCGAGCTTATGAATGCATTTCGGGAATCCATCGCAATCGGTTTGGCTAATCGAACATGATTTGGTCGTCTTTTTGAGGCGATCGTAACTGATTAATTTATTTGGTCAATTGTATTTTTTGTCCGACAAACAATGTAATTATTTGGTATGTAACTATGTGTCGGCATTAGCTTTGTGCCATTTCATTTGTTTACCAATAATTGTTGGTTTCTCATTCATTGTTTGTCTTTGTTGATGATGCTTCATGACCCCATCAATGACATGCATTTGTTGACAATGGCTGGGTGGATGTAAAACCTTGCTTACTTGCATTCAAGTTCATGCATGCATGCCATTAATAAGCTGCATGCATTTCATTAAATGGTGTACAGTAGGTTTTCAGATTTTAGGAACTAAACACCCCTTGAAAAGTTCTATTGCTCATATTTTGGGCTACTTCATAGGAACAGTACATTTTAGGATATTTTGCCAACTAAACAAGGGCTCTGTTATGTTATGACAGCTAGACTCTGCTGTTCTGTTAGGAGTTACTAGGACTAGATGTAATAACTCCATTTGTCTTTTATTCGGTGACAATATGTATTCCGCCACTGGTTTAACTACGTTCAGGCAGCATTGACGCTAGTATATTTTAATACTGAAGGAATGCTGTGAACTACGTAATTGTCTCTTAAGATTCTGCTAGCGAATGAGATTGTTTCTTTTTAACAAAGTTTTCACATAAGCTAATTCTACGCCTGTTGTAAATTGTAACCTATCACAATCATCCTTCTCCTGCACCATTGCAGTTGGACCAAGATTATCATGTCCGGGACAGGTAAATTTGGTCAAAGACTTTGACCAAATTTATTTATTTCCGCTCGGCGTGTGTAATTTATTTTCCCCGCAAAAAAAAAATGTTCGCGCTCTCGGCCACCGAAATTTTCCTCCAAATTTGCTTCTTTCCTCCAGAAGGAAGCGCGGTTTTGGCTTCCCGAGTACTCTTCTCCCGCGGCGTTTTGCTTCGGAAGGAACTGGCGCTCCCTCTTTCAGCGCACTCATCGTCTCTCCTCCGCTGCCCCCCACTCCCCCCATCCACCGTCGGCCGTCGCATTTGCACCCCACCGAACCCGGAATCGATCTTGCTCGCTTCGATCAATGGCGGACTAGCGCCGAAGCGAAGACGCGAGACTGCGAGATTTTGACTTATTCCCCGCAAACGGAGGTATAATCCCTCCGTTTCCCCCAATATTTTCGTGGTTTTTTTTTTTGCTTGTTCGTGAATTTGGACGATCATGTTCTCCGCACCGCTGAATCGTTCGTTTCTCGCCGCGGACGAGGGGGATTTTGCTCGAACCTCTGATCGATGATTGTTCTACGCGGCCTCCATTAACATCGTCTGTGGAGTACGGGGGGCTTCTCTCCTATCCCCTATTGTACTCCTAAACCTCAAGCCAAACCCCTTCCATGTTTACACGGTGGGGATTTTGGCGATTGCTTCGTGATGAGCGCAATGAGCGTGAGATTGTCAAGCCGACGCGTCTGTGAAACTAGTAGTTGTGTTATATTTCAACAAATATATCATAGCTTGCTAATCACAGCTGGTGCTTCAATCTTCAGGCATAAGATTGGCTGCCTTAATAATTGTTATTGACACTCTTTGCGTTATTACTGAATCCTAGGAAGATAAGGTGTCATGTTCTTCAATGCCATTTCCAATTTACCACTAGATGCTATTTTGTAGTCTAATCTCTTTGGTTGGCTGTCTAATCTTGGTTTCTGGCAACAACTGACTGCTGTATTGCCATTCCATGGTCTACTAGTCTAGGCAATGCCTTTAATATGGATGCACATAATTTCTGTGAACACAGTCTGCCCTTAATCTCAACATTTACCCATTGCTACTGGCTACCACATTTAGTTTTCCATCCTGCGCGACTTATCTTGAAACTCTGCTTGCAGTTGGTTGTGTTGCCGTAAATCAGCATCCCCCAGGACACTAGGATAGAGCAACATGTGTCATTTATCTTTCTTGTAATCGTACATTTTTTTTCTCTGTGGACATGTGTTTCTGTATATCTGCATTTGAATACTTTAGATGTTTCCAAATGTTCCTTTCACATTTGCAGTTTTGGTGTTTATATTTGCATCTTCCGACCATTTGAATTTGGAAAAGATTTCAGCACTAGTATCAAGTTTTGGTTTTTCTTATCAATTCAATAATCGCACCATGACTTGTCTGATGTTGGTAACACCATTCACAGTTTCAATTTTATAGGTTCTGCTTGCCTACATCTGCCAGCAACCACAGCTTGGGTACAATGAGCACCGCAAGAGTTCAGGGAAGATTAGATTACCTTAATTCACAGGAGCCTGGTGATGAATCACAGGCTACTGCTATTGATATTGTGGAAAGGCTGCTGGTAGAAGATGACATAGGAACTTCTCAGAAAATGAGTGCTGAGCCAATGAGTGGAACAAAGTCAGCTTCTATATTAGGCACAAAAGTAGCCCAGTGCCTGGCCAAAAGGGGTGATTGCCGTAGCCCACTCCAAAAGACAGATATTTTTGACTGGGCTGATGCTTCCAGTAATGATGAATGCACAGCCATTATGATTTCCAGGAAAAAACAAAGGATCCATGCTAATACTCAAGCGAAGAATTTGACCTCCCAGAGATATGGTGGCAGTGGATCAACTACCATTGTTGGTTCCATACTAGAATGTAATGGTGGTGACTCAGGCTTGAGTTCTTTTAAGAAGCCAGAGCCTCTTGGTTCTACTGATGATTTATATGATGCATATGATATTGGGCCATGTACTGAGATGGCAGCTGAAGCCATGGAAGCATTGTCCAATGCATCAACTGTCAATCATGTAGTCAGGGAGAATGCACATCCTGAAAGCTCAGTTCTTAGAACAAACTTGGGAAAAGAAAGCAAAGCCAATAAGATATGTTCTGAACCGCCAATTCAAAAGCGAATTGGTGGAAGTTCAAGGTCTGTGAAAAAGAATCCCAGCAAGTCAAAAGACAAGAAAGGTCCAAAACAGATGGCAGGGAAAGCAAAAGGAAGCATGGGCGGTATCACTATAGAGGGAGATACAAATCGTGAGGTGTCAGAAGGAATCAAGGGATCTGGTCCAAGTGATTCAAATATTGTCGGCTCTGATGCTGTAATCCACCCTAAAAGGAAGAGGACCTACACGTTTATCTCAAGAAGCTCGAAAGTTCAATTCAATAAAGCTGGGAGCTCAACTACACTTAGTTCCAAAAGTACAGGAGTAGCTGACTCATCAACAACAAATCAAGTTAGCCTATCTGGCCCTGATTTAAATCAGCTTGCCAGATTATTAGAAAAACAATCCACATCTCTACAAGAAGATCATAACCCTAGTTTGATAAACAGAGTACCACTGAGGGAGCTAAATAGCAAACGCTCCCAATTTAGGACACAAATATCAAAGAAGCCACTGAAGAGAGGACTTGTGAAATCACCAGGTTCCAGAGAACTTGCCAGTCTGTTAAGAAATGAAGCATCTCCAGTTTTGCACTTTTGCAGACAAGCAGGCAAAGAAGAAACATGTCCAAAGTCCATGTTCTGTTGAGCCAAAGCATGGATAAGGAAACCATCAAAATGCAAACAAAGGTAGTGGTCCAATACATTAGTTATACATATTAAAAACAGTATTTAATGGTCTGTTGATGAATCCCATCTTTTTTTTGGATGTTGGCAGATATTGATATACTTTGGACTACCAGTGGCGACAACTATTTCAGAAGCTACACACTTTGTTGCTGAAAAGTTTGCCCGTACAAGGAACATGCTTGAAGCAATAGCTATGGGAATACCTGTAGTCACGCCATCATGGCTTCAATGCTGTAGTGAAGCAAGGTGCTTCATTGATGAGAAGAAATACATTATGAGAGATATGAAGAAGGAAAAGGAGCTAGGCTTTAGCATGCATGTCTCACTTAGCAGAGCCTGCAAAAAACCATTGCTTCAGGTTTTCCTCTAATTTCTTATGCGAAGAGTCCAATTGAAATGGGGAAAACGAATAGTGACAGAGGGCAGTTGTATTCTCTTTTATGTCAAGAGAAAACTCAACATTTACAGTACGCTTACAGCATTCCTTTTGTAATATTATCATAATGTTTCCAGAGGTTTTGAAAATCTGTTTCAGGGTAGAAGAGTATTAATCACACCAAACGCCAAGCCTAGCAAGGAGCTTCTGAAAAATTTAGTAGTTGCAGCTCATGGTCAGGTATGCAATCTGTAATCTACATATCCGTATCAGTCTACCATCACACTGTCCTTGGTAGTATGAACCATGTAGCCATAGGGCATATAAATATAAAATATCCTATAATATGCTTTATGTTTTACTGCACTTCATATAATTTGTATGATCTCTATACCTGCTAGAATTCCATTCTTGGTTCCATAATTTTCATTGGCTAATTTACTCTAGTGCCAAATAAATTTTGTCAACCGCTGGGGAGAATCACAGCCTCTTCAATGAAGAACAAAAATTTTGAGGGGACCTTTGTAATCTCTTGTGAATAAGATCACAGTGTCTGTATGCCGTTAATTGAGAGTGGTACATGTTATGAATTTTTCCTCCCAAAACCTTTTTCTATTGCTTCCTCCATTTCTCGCAATTCATCAAAAAGTTCTGTACAATTGTTGCAGGTCTGGAAGTTTTTTGACTCGGAGCTTCTTCTGAATGGTATTGTCACTCAGAGGCTAGAGTTCGCCAGGTACATGCTTGCTATCTTAACAAGCTAGAATCATGCTGTCTTGAACATTTTGATATTGATGAAATCTACCCTGCTTTCTAATTCTGAAAATGGCATCTTTTGTGTTTCAGGTATAGCCTCTTTCCATGAATAAACCATATGAGCGCGATCTGGATAGGTTCGGTTCTGGTACCATGCAAGGCAGACAAAGCACTTCTGTACATATGCATCCTATGGCCCCTGCAGTCTTGCCTGTATTTATCTTTCGAATCTCTGGCCCTTACCACTACTATTTGCTTTCTATTGGCTCTTGGAACACAGGCCATGTGGGAGCTTTGGTATTCTTTTGTTGTATGGTTGTGACCATGTTAGCCTATGTTAAAACTAAGTACCTACATGGATTGGATATATCATTCTGCCAATGAGCCTATTCATAGTGGTAGAACCAGTACATTCGGTTGGTGTTTTCATGAGGGAGCAACGTGTAAGGATTTGGACCCAATGGTTGCAGGGCCTGTGTTTATTGTATGACAGAGTGAGCAGTATAATCAAGCACTAAAGAATTTATCTGTTCACCTACTCGAACCAGCTCCAATGGAACTGAATTCCTACAGAACGCCATAATGTGTTGGCTTATATACAGCTAAGTGCAGTTCCTTTTTGAAGTGGCATCTATATAGAGCCTCGCCTCTTGTAGCATTTTCTTTATAATATTTTGTCCAGATGCAGTATGTAGCTGGTATTTTTTTTTATCCATAACAACACATAGATGGAGTTTTGGACGGCTCTGCTCCACCTTTTGTAGCTCTGCTTCCAAACTTTTCTGCCAAACAGGTCCAACTCCACAAACTCTGCTCCTAAAAAAAGATGGAGTTTTGGTCCAACTCCATGTTTTTCGCGGAGCTCCTCAGAGGGTACTCCACAAACCAGCGTTTCGTATGTCCTCGTGGAGTTGGAGGTAATTACCCGTAATTGCCACTCGTTACGCAAATACTGTTTCGTTCTATTTCCTCCCGTCGCCCCCCACTCGACGCCCTCATCCTCCTCTACTCCCGTCGCCTCTCTCCTCTGCTCCAGCCTGTCCTCCCCAAACCCTAGCGACGCCGCCGCTCATTCCAGCCGCCACGGCAAGACATCCGGCCAGGTGATGGACGGAGAAGATAGATTCGTTGATCCTGAACTGGATCCTCTCTTTTCTTACCCCCAAATCCCCTCCGTCTTCCCTCCCCCAACTTCGCATGAAGCTGCTGCCGGCGTGTCCGTGGGTCGAGGAAGCTCGCCGGCGCCTAGGGTGGGGCTGGCGCGGCCTCCTCCGGCGGTGCCGCCGGTGGCCTCCGTCCAGGCCGGGATGGGTGGTGGCCGTCCAGGACCAGCTGCTGGTCGATCAGGGCAGGCCGCCCCACAAGCCACGGCCGACTAACTCTGGGCATAATTAACCGAAGACCGAACCGAAAAGACCGAGACCGAAAAGTTCGGTCATGAGTTCGGTCCTGGCTCCCAACTAACCGAAGTAACCGATAGAAGTTCGGTCATATGTGTCGGTTAACCGAAGTGACCGAACTGACCGTAGTTCTGTAGACTTCGTTCATAATGTCATTATGTGTGATTGTGATTTGTGAGAACTGAGAAAGTTGTGTACTAGAACTTGTCATAATAATGTGTGGTTTGTTTTATATATTGTGTTGTTATTTTTTTGCCTTCAAATAGCAAGCATGCTGTTGAAAATTGCTATAGATTCTGCTATTGTTTGTGGCTGCTACTCAGGTCCGGTTAGTTCGGTCGTGACCGAGACCGAACCGAACTAACCGAGACCGAACTTCCTCGGTCTTCGTTTTTTGCAAAGACCGATCGGTCCCAGGTTTCTGATGACCGAACTGACCGAATGACCGAGGAACCGAACCGATCGGTTCGGTCTGACCGAATGCCCAGGGTGACGGCCGACCAACGCCCTCTGGCATGTGCTTCACACAAATGACCACTACCAGCGAAGAAGAAAGATGAACATGTATTGCTCCTTGCCGTAAAACTTCAAAATGAGCTTCATGATGCCTTGAATACATAGTATTTGTGCGACAGTGCTAGCAAAATTCAATAGATTGTCCTGAGTGCTTGAACATACTATTGCAATATCATGGTCGGGGTGATCAAATGGACTGGAACGATGCACATTTGCAATTAGCCTGTGAGTTGATGGCTGAACAAGTTAGTAGAGGCAATCGTCCAAATACTCATTTGAACTCTGTAGGTTATACTGAGGTCTCCGCTAGATTTTTGCAAATGACTGGTATCTCATTATCAAAGACTCAAATTAAGAACAAGTGGGATAAATTAAAGGCTGATTGGACCATTTGGCTAAAGTTGAAGAGGAGGCAAACATGTACTGGTTGGAACAATGCGACCCAAACAATTGACATGGAGGCTGAGTGGTGGAAGAAAGTAAAAAATGTGAGTGCTATCAGCTGATAATTTTATTCTGATCTTTTCTTGAAGAATTTAACTTAGCATTTAATTTTCCATGTTTATTTGTATCTGTAGTTGATGTGCTGTTAATTTTATTCTGATCTTTTCTTGAAGAATTTAATTTTCCTTCTGTAATCCTACAATAAAAAATATTCAAGGCCCATCAGTTATCAGCAATCTAACTTGGCATTTAGTACATACCAATTTGGTTTTATAAGAAATCCTAAAATAATGATGATACATTAGAAAAGAAAAGACCACTAGTGGACAACAATATTACAGTTAATTAGCTGATCATCAATGCAATAGACATGCGGACAAGGATTTGAAATCCTGAAGTAACCAGATTCCAGATTGAGACGGGAAATGAAATACCAATACAGAAAAACATTAAGAATATTTTCTGCAGCGGTAAATAACACCTGGATCAGAAGTTCGCTTCTCTGGGTTAACATCAGATTCTGCAGCTGTTTCCTGGCATGTTTCCATAAAGTGCGTTCGGCTGGCTGGCTGGGCTGAGCTCGGTTGGCCAGCTCACTCACAGAAATACTATTCACGTCCAGACAGAACAGTATTTTTCTCTCACAACAATCAGTCTGAACAGTATTTTTCAGTCCTGCCGAACAGGTCCATAGGTTCTTCATTAACCTCTAAGCCTGCCTCTGGAACAGCTTGCTTTTCTGGGATAATATCAGTTTCCACCACTGCACCCTGACATGTTTCCACAGGCTCTTGGTTAACCTCAGCTACTGGAGTTTCATCAGTTTCCTTTTCTGGGTTAACATGATTTTCCATGGGATTTTGACTGATCTCCGGTCCCAGCTTCTGATGAATCCCTGACTTGGGCATCTGACTGGTTTCCCTGACTTGGGTATAACACATATAAAGCAAAAAAGTTTCATACAGACAGCAAACTAAACACAAATGTAGAAATGTAACTGCTAACATATAATTGAGAATGACAAAATTACAAAACCTATTGTTCAGCTATCTAAGCATCGTTTGCAGTTAATGGCATGGTTTATACAAAAAGAATTCCATAACTTGCAGAAGCACATCCCTTCTGATTATCATGATACTGTTTTTGCAGGATATTCTAGGGTGTGGCAAGTTCAGGAAAAAGCCTATCCAAAATAAGGATTTGCTTAGGGAAATGTTTAGAAATATTACAAATGAGGAAGCGGATCATTGGAACCCTTTTAGTGACAATCCTATTATCCCTACTAGCTAAGAGCAACCTTTTGATGTAGACGACAGTGAATATGTTGATGGAGAGAATAATGCCCAAGGTGACCCATTTGATGCCAACAAGGAGGGGGATGAGGAGGTTCAGTAAGTCACTCCAAGTGCGGTTCCAAATAAAAAACCTCGTGTTGCTGCTGTGGATAGGAAAAAGGCAAAGTCAAGCACAGCTCTTCTAATGGTTGAAGCAATTTCGAAGATATCTGACTGTTCAAGTTCATTTACAGCAAAGAAGCAAGAAGGGATCACCATCAGGAAAATAATGGAGCATGTGAAGGACTGTGGTGCGGCGTATGGTTTAGATGAGCATGACATTGCCACCCAGCTGTTTGTGAAGAAGGAACACAGAGAAATATTTATGACCTTGCCTATTAGAGAAATTAGGCTCAATTGGCTTAGGAAGAGGCACAATGACAAATATGGAAGTTAGTTTTTTTTTGACAACATGTATGCTATTATTTTACTTGACATTGCCACAATGAGATTTTTCAATACTATTTGTGACCCTGGAACCATGTATGCTACTATTTTTCAATACTATTTTACTTCTGGCAATCTGTGTATGTCCTTTTTTGACCATTATGCTGTAACATGTATGCTGTATGCTACCATTATTTGAACCTGTATGACATGTATGCTGTAGGTCTTTTTTTTCTCCGTGTATGTCCTTTTTTTCTCTCTGTGTTGCTGTTTTGTCTCTAATTGGCATCCTGCATGGCCTTTTTTTACCTCTATGCAGAGTGATGATGAAACTGATACCTCTGACAATGAGAGCATGACATTTTGGAATCTTGTATTGGCTGGTGCTAAACTTGCTGCAGCTTATGTTGAATTATATTTAGACAAAAATCCACCTAGGCATCACTCCTTAGTTGTATGGGCTGGTTGCTAGAGAAGCTGAACACACCGGGAGAATGTCATTCGCAGCTTCGGATGAGCACACAGATGTTCTACGACCTTCATGATTTATTGGTTGGAAGGTATGGTCTGAAACCATCCCTACATATAAACACTCAGGAGATGTTGGCAGTGTTCTTATTTGTATTATCTAGAAATGAATCTAATAGAAAAGCACAAAATCGGTTCAAGCACTCGGGTGAAACTATTCATAGGAAATTTGATGAGGTACTGAATGCTTTCATGGATATGTCTAGAGATTTTATTAGACCAAAGGACCCCAACTTCCGAACTGTTCACAGGAGGATAAGAGATGACCGTAGAGCATATCCACATTTCAAAGATTGCATTGGTGCTCTAGATGGTACTCATGTCCGAGTTTCGTTGCCACCTAACGATCAAGTAAGATATATTGGAAAGTCTGGTATACCTACTCAAAACGTTCTAGCAAGTTGTGACTTTGATATGAGGTTCACTTATGTGTCAACGGGACAGCCGGGCTCTATGCATGATACTAGTGTCCTGTACAATGCAATTAGAGTGGACGAGAGCTTTTTTCCACACCCTCCAAAAGGTATTAAAAATATGACCATGCACTTCATTGTTTGATCAAATGCTTACAAATATGATCTGATATTTTGTTTCTAATAATTATAGGCAAATATTATGTTGTCGATGCGGGATATCCTAATTGTCTGGAATACCTTTGTCCTTATAAAGGTGAGAGGTATCATATGCCGGAGTGGCATAGAGGAATGGAACCAAAGACTCCTAAAGAAAGGTTCAATCGTGTTCACTCATCCATCCACAATGTTATTGAGCGATCATTTGGAGTGCTAAAAATAAAATGGCAGATTCTATATAAAATGGCGTCCTACCCGATGTTCAAGCAAAAAATGATTGTTGTGGCTACTATGGTCCTTCACAACTTCATTCGTGAGCATGGCGGTGAAGACTTGGACTTCGCTCGGTGCGACCGTGATCCAAATTATGTTCCAGAGATTCCGGAAAGGTACTTCAAATATGTGGCTAGATCAAATGGCTCTACTGATGCACCAAATGCTCCTACTATGGATAAATTCCGTGATGACTTGGCCACCGCTCTTTCTCTAGCTTGGAACTAGAATTATGTATTAGTCACTATTCTCTAGTTATCTATGGACAACTATTTCTATTAGAATGATGGACTTTGTTATCTTATTTATCATTAGTCATGTATGGACAATTATTTGTATCCGAAATATGAACTTTGTCAATTATCCATCAAGCGCTTTGAAATTTACGTGACAAAAGTATGAAATTATTTGGCCGAAATATTTATTTTTTACTTTTCTCCAATAAATTAAATGAGATTATAATATTTACACCATATTTGAATTGGTAAAAAAATATTCAATTACACGTGCTCTGCATACAACAGAACATACACCAAACATCGATCAGGGGCATAGTAGACCTTTCCTATAGAAACCTCATGTTTCCAGAGCTGGAGCTAAACTGCGTGCCAAACAGGTCCACTTGCTCCAGAAACTCCACAGTGGAGCTGCTCTGTGGTGGAGTTGGTGGAGCAGAGCTGGAAAAGGTGGAGCAGAGTAGTCCCAAACAGGCTCTAATGGTAATGTGAGTTGTGAGGAAGAGAGCAATGGCATCAAGAACTCCTGTTTATTGCTGAAAGCGTGATGCAGTATGTTGGGATTAGGGGGATACCGGAAACAAGTAGTCTTGTTAAAACAGCAGATCAAGAGCCAGATTCTGATTTGTAGTTCTTTGTATCGCTTCTTGTTTCTATGCTGTTGTTGTGGATGTCTGGCATTTCTGCCCATCATGTTAAAACTGGTGTGTCCCCCAACCAGCTCTTTATTTCAGAACCTATCATGCAGGAGTCTGAGAGGTATGACAAAAAATTGTAACATTCTACTCTAAAAAAAGGGAAACTTGTCTACTCAAAGTTGTGGTAAAATCAACTAGGATGGTTTGGTTTTCATGAAGCAGCAGCATGTGAGGATTCAGTGTGTTTTAGAGCAGTGTTCATCTACTACTCTCACTGATTCACTGCGTCATCTCATTCTAGAGGATATCAGGAGCAGGAGCAGCAGTGCAGTGTTCTAGAGGATGGATACAAATAACAAGATATATAGCATCCCAGTGAACAGATGAGCATGAACCAAAGCCAATAAGAACTAACTTAACCCAGCGAGAACCATAGATAAGGTTAACCGACAAATCAGATAGTAGGGACTCTAATAAGTTCTCATCAGCGCAAGTTTTAACACGACGACAGAGCAGCTAGCGAACGTGAATCAAGCACGTACACGTGCATACATAACAATAATTGTCCTGTTCGCTTGGCTGATAAGCCATGGCTGAAAATACTATTAGCTGATTTGTTACGAGAGAAAAATACTGTTTGTTAGCTGAAAAAGTACAGCTTATAAGCTAAGCGAAAAAGTACGGCTAATAACGCCACAGCCCAAAGACAGCACAACCTTAGACGATGGAGGATCTGAGTTTGTTTATTTATTAGTCCAGCCGCAACCGGACAGCCGGACAGGCCACACACACGTCAGGGCTCAGGTTGGTGCAGGCTTGAGGCTTGACTCGCCTCCGGCCTGGATCATGGCGCTGCCTCAGCCTCGTCAGTGGACAGGAACGAGTCCTCCTTGGCCCCGCCGGCGCCGGTCACCTTCACCGTCGTCTCCACCACCAATGGACTTTGATGAAGCACAATCATAGCTAAGGGATCTTGTAATGGGATCACCGTGTAGTTGGCGAATCCAGCCTCCAAGAATATCGTCTTCCACTGACGCTCATCCCTCTCGAAACCGTGGCCTCTCATCATGTAAAGATCAAGAGTTGCGCCTCAGTTACCTGTTTGCTTGTCTCCCCCCTATGCCCAAGAACGGTGTTGTTGATGAACACCTTTCCTCCCGTTGGTGGTATCGCTTCCTTGCAGCGTTTGAGTATCTTTATGCATGAGGCATCGTCCAAGGAGTGCAAGACGAGCTGAGATGGACACTTAACAGTATATGTTACCAATGTGAAGATAGAGAGTGTACATTCTGTATTGAAAAGTACAAGGGCTACCTTGAGTAGAACAGCTAGCATCTGCTGGCGGAATTGACTCAAACATATCGCCTACCACGAACTTGACCGTCCCGCCGCACTCAGGTGCGCTGCTGACCACTTGCTGGAGGTCCATCACGGTGCACTGCATGTCCGGAAAGGCTGCAACGATAGCAGCCGTGGCCGCCGCCGACATCCGTCAGAGTCTTCAGGCCCTTGAAATACCCACCGGCCTCTTTGATCACAACCTCCATGGTGAATCGGCTATCCGCCACACTAGCTCTGTTCATGGCATCGTTAAACGACGCGTCGCTCTGGGTGAGACTCCAAGTGGACGTACCGTGAGCCGCCTCGAAAACAGTCTTGGTACTAGTTGGATCTCTGAACCAACGCTCAAGGTCGAAGAAGGTTGACACAGTGGTGCTGGGGCGCGTGAACAGCAGCAGCATGTGGGACAAGTCGCACGTCGAATCGTTGTCGGCCTCCTGGACGAGGAGCCGCGACGTCGGAGTCAGCTTGTACACCGTCTGGCTTTCAGCTGACGCAGACTCGTCGTCATCCTCCTGGAACAGCCCGAAGAAGGCAAGGAAGCGCAGGAGGCGGCTGAGGTATGGCGCCTTTGCCGGGACGAGGCCGATCTCCTTGATGGGGTCGGAGACGGTGGCCGCCCCCGCCGCCGCATTTGATAGCAGTTGGAATGCCCAACTCCACGGCGCACTTCCGCCGACTTGAAATGGGCTGAGGCTAAGGCTGAACAGGTGACCGTACCCTTGCAGCATAGGTCTGAACAAAATACTCGTGGCTCGTGGCCGGCTCAAGCTCGACTCGGCTCATTTTAATTTTTTTACGAGTTGAGCTGGAAGTCTAGCTTGCTATTTTAACGAGCCAGCTCGCAAGCTGCTCACGAACTGAAGCGAGTTGAGGCCTATCAGCCCACGACCATGAATCCAGAAGATAATGATACTGACCTAGAAGTGTACACCTATTCTATCGGTATGTAATCCTTATTTTCAGCTGTTTCGTATGAATTTTAATTTTATAATTGTTGTGGTACTTAAATGTTGATTTTATAGATTGTTTTCCAGAGAGAAGATGATGATACTGACATTGAATATGTGGACTTTCCTAAGTTTATGGTGACGAGCAACTAGTTAGTATACTGAAACTGCATGATCATGAATGAACCAGCTATGTTACAGAGTTGATACTTTTGATGAACCTGATATGTATTAATTATGTATGGTTGCATAATGATGAACGTCACCTTTTGAAATTAATGTAGCATAAATAGTATAAACATGTGTGTCATATTTTTTTTTAAGTAGCTCGCAAGCTAAACGAGCCAGCTCAAACTCGGTAACGAGTCGAGCCGAGCTGCCCCTCTAGCTCGTAATATTAACGAGTCAAGCCGAGCTGGCTCGTTAGCCTAACGAGCCAGCTCGAGCTGGACCGAGCCGAGCCGAGCTGGCTCGGCAACATCTCGCTGTTCTGCTCTCCATTCGACATGGTGTCGCTGCATGCAAAAGGCAGGAACAAAAGAATTGGCATTAGAAATTATGGTCCCGTTCGCTCGGCTGAAATTGGTTCAAAAAACATGTCAAAGCGAAAATGTTGTGAGAGAAAAATATTGTTCCGGCTGAAAAAAGAAGCCGAATAAGTCGGCTTTTAAGGTAAGCCGAACGGGGCCAATTATATTCTTTTTTTTTGAAAAAAAGAATTGGCATTAGAGACTAAGTATGTATATAATCAATCATATATAAGCTGCAATTATATAAAACAACAAAGGAACAAAACAATTATATACTAGCACACATAACAGTGTGTGACACACACTGTTTTGATGGTGACCACCTGGCATGATGCATGACCACCAACGGACAGCGTAGTCCTAGCATGGACGTATCGACAGCTATGTGTTGCCTGCCGTCGCACCTCAGGACATGCAAACCTTAGAGGTTGCTCCTATATACTCCAGGTTAGGTGTTGGGAACGATGGCCCGTTGGGAGCCCCCTTAATAATAGTTTACCGGTAAGTACTTCGGTTCACTATATTTTTCGAGGCAGTTATATATGATAAAATTATTAGTGGCTAATTCATTATCGTGTTCAATGCAGCGATGGAACGGGCAGGATACACTCCCTATAGCTCTGTATATCTGGACGGAAGCAGAGTTAGTTAGAGCGAATGCGTGGCGCAAGTACAGGGAGTACACGGACGGTCTCGACGTCCTGACACAACACCAGGTTACGCTCTCTTTACTATCATACCTGTGTCTTCTTCGATGTACACTATATCACAACCTAACTCAATTACGAAATTTCAGGTGTATTGGTGTGCTTGGGATTCTCCGGAGCTCCAGGACTATCTCAGTCCTGTCACTAGGGACGAGTCAGACGAGTATCGCTGCGACGTCCCTCTTATTTTCTTCCATGTGGTCGAGATTCACTTGCCCATCCGGGTCTGCAGACAGTTTGGAAGAATGGCAGACTGTCCACCACCGCTTTACTCCACCAACCAACAATTGCACGGGTGCGTTATTGATTAATAACAATGCTACAATTCAGAGGTGTGTGATACAACTAACATCGTTTTGCTGCAGGTATGACCGCAGGAAGAGGTACAAGACCAAGGATTGGCACGTGACACACAGCGTGCACATCCATTTGTGGCAGAACAGGGTACGACTTTCGGTCTATGCGGGTCCTCCACACGACCAGCACACCTTCGACGAATATCTGCGGTGGCTTCACCGGTCTACGAGGACACATATCAAGCCCCGTACACTGAGGAGGCAATTGACAAGGACTCGGAGGAAGATGTCATCAAAGATGTGTACGACACTACCACTAGGGAGGACACACAGATACAGAGAGCCCCGCTTCAAAGATACGTGGTAATATACTTGAATAGTACAATTTGTTATCATTTTGGTATTAAGTATGTGTACTAAAACTGTCCAACCGCGTTTCTGTACCCAGACGACACAATTGTCAAGGCTGTCCAACGAAGCAGCGTTTCGGCTTCACGAGTCTAGAGGGCAAGGGCCAGGCGTTCTCGTGGCTTTTGTGGAGGTAAACATAAATTTGTTCGTTCCGAAAATATTTCTTTAGTGTATATGCGTTTGGGTAATGCACTAACTTTAACGTCTATTTATGCAGAAAGTGAAGAAGAACTGCAGGAAGCTAGCTCAGAAGCTGAGCTGCAAGGACACTCCTTATGAGGAACCGCCACTCCCGGCGTGGTCGGGTGGCACGTCTTCAACCTCTTTGAGGACACCAGCCGGCTCTTCTCAGCCGATGACAGGTGCCACTTCCGCGGTGCGTACACCATCACATCATAGCGCTGGGAAGGACCCTGCAACCGAGGACGACGATGACGACGACGACGACCCCCCGGGCTTCCGCAGACAGCACGACCAGTGGGACGATTGACCGCAGGACGAGATCGACATGTCTCAGCTAGGTGGTGCCCCGCTTGGTACCCAAGAGCCTCACAGGTACTATCAAAGATAGTTTCTTTAAATACGTAGGCTCCATGAACTAACGATCATAAATAATTATAAGTAATCGTGCGTATCATATACTTACAGGGTACGAGCCGTACGCACCGTCGACACGACCATACCGACGTTGGCTACACTCCCAATGTGTTGCCAACAAATCCGAAAAGACAGAGGCGTCTGAGGGATCGTTACACTCCTAGGTCTTAGTTTGTTAGGTCAAGCGAATATTGGCGTCCAAAACTTGCGAGGTTATTTGGTTATGTTATGTCAAACTTATGTCAAAATAATGAAAATGTTATGTGGCAGCTTGTCAACTTGCGTACGGACTTCATTTATTTGCTTCATATTCGTTTCTTTGCGTCGCGGCAGCACTCCCGGTGAGATTAAGTACCAACTAGTCCGGGAACCGGCAGTCCCGGCGTATCTCGACGCCGGTGGTAATTTTTCGTAATCGATTAGTTAAAGCGGTGGTTAACCGTATTATGAAAGACGGAAAACAAATCATTGGCTTATCAAATTCTCTATTCGTCCGTGAAAAAAATCAACAAAAGACTGAAACAAAACTACTATTGATTTTACGTCAAGCAATATTTAGAATAACTCCCACTATCAGCGCGATGCGTTCCGATTAAACCGTCCAGGTACCAATGGGCGGGCGGCGGGCGAGGCGGGACTGGCCGCGGTATTTATTTGGCCCAGCCGCGCCACGGATCAGGGCGCGGCACTGCCGCGCCAAGGTCGGTGGCGCGGCAGGACCTGCCACGTCAACGATCCCCGAATCCGGTCGTCGCCACGTCAGTCCGCTGCCGCGACACCATGCATGGTGCGGCACAGGCATTTGGCCGCGCCAGGACAATAGGCGCAGCCAAAAGTGTTAGTTTTTTTTAAAAAAAACCGACCATGTTAGATTTAAATTAGTTATCAAAAAGTGTTAAAATTAAAAAAAATCATCGCCGCCGACTTGAAATGGGCGAGGCTAAGGCTGAACAGGTGACCGTACCCTCGCATACTCGTGGCTCGCTAACTCGCTCGACTCGTGGCCGGCTCAGCTCGGCTCGACCCTACTCGTTTTAACTTTTTTACGAGTTGAGCTCGAAGTCTAGCTCGCTATTTTAACGAGCCAGCTCAAGAGCTGCTCACGAGTTAAAGCGAGCTAAGACCTATCAGCCCACGACCATGAATCCAGAAGATAATGATACTGACCTAGAAGTGTACATATATTCTATTGGTATGTAATCCTTATTTTCAGCTGTTTCATATGAATTTTAATTTTATAATTGCTGTGGTACTTAAATGTTGATTTTATTGATTGTTTATGGATTGTTTTCTAGGGAGAAGATGATGATGCTGGCATTGAATCCGTGGACTTTTCTAAGTTTGTGGTGGCAAGCAACTAGTTAGTATGCTGAAACTGTATGATCATGGATGGACCAACTATGTTACATGGTTGATACTTTTGATGAACCCGATATGTATTAATCATGTATGGTTGCATAATGATGAACGTCATCTTCTGAAATTAATGTAGCATAAACATTATAAACATGTGTGTCCTATTTTTTTATAATAGCTCATGAGCTAAACGAGCAAGCTCGAACTCGGTAACGAACCGAGCCGAGCCGCCCCTCTAGCTCGTAATATTAATGAGCTGAGCCGAGCTGGCTCGTTAGCATGACGAAACAGCTTGAGCTGGACCGAGCCGAGCCGAGCTGGATATTCAGACCTACCCTCGCAGCATCTCGCTGTTCTGCTCTCTATTCGACATGGTGTCGCTGCATGCAAAAGGCAGGAACAAAAGAATTGGCATTAGAGACTATGTCAATTCAATTATATTCCTTTTTTTTTTAAAAAAAAAGAATTGGCATTAGAGACTTAAGTATGTATATAATCAATCATATATAAGCTGCAATTATATAAAACAACAAAGGAACAAAACAATTATATACTAGCACACATAACAGTGTGTGACACACACTGTTTTGGTGGTGACCTCCTGGCATGATGCATGAGCGCCAGCAGCAGCAGAAGCATCGCCGCGACAGCCTTCATGATCGATGCACGTACGTACCTTCTTCGGAGCTGTCGATCGACCTCTGCTCTGAAGAGTGAAGACGAAGGTGCGCAGATGTATCGAGAGATCGATGCTAGCTGCGTTGCATTGGGTTGAGCCGGATATTGGCATCGATGATCATGTACGTGTTGGCGTTGCCTGGGGGGAACGTGCATGTGCTGCGCATGAGAGATGTGTGAAGTGAACGCCGTGCCCAACTTGCCGCAAGCAGCAACATCTGCGTGAGCGGAACAGAAACTGACAGGGTTGCTGCAGCTGCTGGCAGGCCTCATCACTTGACCGAAAACATGCACCTGCTGCTCTGGAAAGCTGCCCGCAGCTGCTCCACCCCCGCATGTGCATGAACGTTAGTCGTCACGATTTGGGTGTCGATAACTTTGACTCGATTTATAGAAAATACATGTAACATTTTTATCTCCAAATAAATTTATTAAAAAACTAGATTCAAATATTTATCAATGATACTAATTATGTATCATAAATATTAATATTTTTGAATATATTTTTATTCAAAGTTGTTTTTCGGAAAACGAAAACGACAGACATCAACCCTCGTTGCAAGTGCTTACGTACGAAATACAAAGATCAAGAACGAATCCTACGCAACCTCGCAGTCCATCCGTCTAATAAGGCACGAAAAGTGTATGACCGAGTAGAAACAGAACCCTCGTTGTAAGTGCTTTCAACAAATCTCCAAAAATCAGCAAATGAATGAAGTATGCGCGTCGCTGAGCTACCAAAGATCACACAATTCCCATTCAACATTGAGACCATCGCGCATCATTGTCAGCGGAACAACATCCAGCGCAGGCTCCAAAATGGGAACCTGCACAGGACGGTCAATGTTTCCGTTCAGTCAATCGCAAAAGACAGGTTACATCAGTATCTACACTACGAGTTATCCCTACGAAGTTACACCTTCGACAACGGCGCCCCCCTCAAGAGTCACTACTTCCTCGCCTCCGGAGTCACGGCCTTCGCCACGCCCACATCCATGGTCGCTTCGCCTAAACCCTTCAAAGGTACGGCCTCCTGGGCCACGTCGCCACAAGCAACTACTGCACCCGGAGCCGCTTGAGAACTCCCAGCAACATTTTCCTTCGGAAGAAGCTTTTTAGCCTTCGATGCCTAATAAAAGTAGGCAAAGCCAAAACCTTTAGGCCAATAAGGTACAATCAGCAAACAAAGCGGATAAAATAGTAACGGACTCACCTCAGCCCAACGAGTCTCGACCAGTGTAAGCAGATGATCCCGTCCAAACTGGGCCCAAAATTCAGACATATACCTTCGACTACCAATTTCGCCAACTTTGAAGGCTCGCCAAGCTCACCCGGCGAAGAAAACTTGTAACTCTTTCTTCCAAACTCTTCCAGGTGGTTACAGCCCAGAGCCTCCTCCATAGACAGCAAGTTTCGAACTCCAGATAAAGCAGCAAAATCACCAACCTTCCAAACAAAATCCGAGAGTGTGGCAAAGCCTCAGCAGGAATGCCCTCTATAACACCACCAAACGATTCTATCATCTTGATGTATAAACCGGCCGCCTCGTGGCCTAAATTCTCAATAGCTTGCATCTTCTCATTCAAGTCATCAGCATTCCTTTTCAGGTCCATAGCTAATGACCATTCCTTCGCTACCCGCTCCCAGAGGCCATCCACCACATTATTTTGCTTTTCCAGCTTACTTTCAAGAACCTCTTTCGCGGATACAGAAGCTTTTAACCTCTGCTCCATATCAGCTAGCTTCTTGGCATCAGCTGACCTCGCCTCCTCAATCTCCTTAATCGTCGCGGCCAGAGCACCTCTCTCGGAAAGCGAAGCCTCACGATCAGACAACTCTTGGTTCCGCGTCTCAAGTGCAGCCTTCTCAGAGCAAAGCGTTGAAACTTGCTCGCGAAGGTTCGCGAGAGTCCCCTCCTGAAGGGTCAAGGTGCTCTGCGCCTTCTCTTTCATACAATTTGCACTAATACAGCTCTGCAAGTGCAAAATATCATCACGAACCACCTGAGTTAAACAAAACCAATTAAGCTACACGAAGGCTTACCTCGTAGGCTCTCTTACGCATGAGCTTTAGAAGCTCTTTCAGGTCTAAACCATCCATGAGTTCCTCGGTAGCTGCTACAAGGAAGCGCGAACATCAGATACAGTAAAAAACCTTAACCACCGATAAAAATCGCTTCAGAACACTAACCCTTCCTCGTCTTAAACAAAAGTGCCGCGACTTCTTCATCATCGCGTTTGCGAGAAGCTCCATCGCCTGCACTGCCACCTGAGCAAGGGAAGAGCAAATCACGCATACAACCGCCACAAAACCAAACAACTTCGCACAAGAGAAATCATACTTCGCAGAGCATCCCCTGCAACCTCCGGAGCCCTTTGCACCCCCGCCGGAGCCTCCAGAGTCACCGAAACCTTCGGCAAAGCCTCCAAAGCTTTCAGAAAAGGAGAAAAAACTAACCTTCCATGAAGCTGTGGTGGAAAAGGAGAAAAAACTAACCTTCCCTGCAGCACTTCTCATGTCTCGGGGTAGTGATTGCATCTGTGGAATTTTACTGCGCGAGTCATGAAGAGCAGACTCGTTTGATTCTCTCTTCTTTGATGCATTGTCTGCAGGGCAGGCAAAGAGATCTGCAACATCTGGGAAGTCTAATGATGGTGTGGGCAGAGAGACATTGCTCGAATTAATCGGTGCTACACTCCTGGACCAAAACAACAAAAACAGTAAGTTAAGGACTCACCAATACCATATCAAACCTAGATAGCAATGGCGGGAGTAATGGTAGTAATGTACTGTGCATTTAGGAAACTGACAAGTAATCAAGTACATACATTCTGAATAACACTTCAGCATACAGCTAGAACTGTAGATAGAAACAAAAAGAAACAAAAACAAGCCCAGGAACCAAAATAAAGAGGGAGCAATGAAATATAATATAACAAAAGGAAGTACATTCATACCCAATACGATAAGAGATTAGATGCAGAAGGGAAGTGTCTGCTTTAAATAACCAATACCAATTGCAATCTTTTTGCCCAATAAGCCAAAGCATCAAAGGGCATCCAACAATCCAACTTATTCTGTTAGGAGTACCATTTATTTCCTTTTTCGAAAACAAAGGAAGAAGCTCAGAGACAAGGCAAATATGCTCTTTCAGTCTTTCTTACTCACTTGTTGGAATGTAGACAAATTATATGCCCAGGCAAAGGGAGCAGAACAGGCATATAATCTATTAATCAGTGGCTTAGTGCCTCATTCTGATGACAAGCAATCTGTATAAACCATGATAAGAGCATCTCCAAGAGTTTGCCAAAATTAACTTGGCAAATCTTGTGATTTGGCAACTTGCTAAAATACATGCCAAGTGAAAAAATAGACCTTCTCCAAGAGTTCCCTATTTTTGACTTGGCAAAACTAAAAAAAGAAGGGCCCACCAATATTTTTCTGTTGACCGGTACGTGGGGAGGTCGAGCGCCTGGGTTCCTTCGTCGCGCGCAGGAGGCCGCCGCGAAGGAGAGGTCGCGATCTCCTCTTCCACGCCGCCACGCAAAATGCCGATCCTTCTCCTCTCCCGTTGTTGATCCTTCACCTCTCCCGTTGCCGGCCTACACCAACAGAAGCCGGCCATCTCCTCCTCCCTGTGCCGGCATCTTTTCCTCCCTGTGTGCCGCCCATCTCCTCCACCAGCCGGCCCTGGGAATCATGCCTAGGAAGAGGTCCCGTGCGCGAAGACAATTGGATGATTCATCATCCGATGACGATGACTCCCTGATATTATCTTCTCGAATTGTGCAAACCTTTTCCAATGACAAAGGAAGACACGGTGGCTCTGTCGAAGGTCATAGAGTTCTTTACCGGGATAGAGAAGGTGGGCATGACAGGATGTTTCGAGATTATTTGGCGGAGAATCCAACATACGGCCCCGAAATATTCCGTCGAAGGTTGTTGTTCTTCAACTTCGGATTAATTTGTTTTATGTGCTCAAATATTATTAGAGTTGTCAAACTTTAGTTTTGTTTTCTTTAGGTACAGGATGTCTAGGGAACTTTTCTTACGCATAATGAATGTTGCTGAAGCACACGATGAGTACTTTGTGCAGAAAAGGAATGCGGCCAACGTTCTTGGATTGAGTTGCTTCCAAAAAGTCACTGCCGCAATGCGTATGCTCACTTATGGGGTTCCAGCTGATGCGACAGATGAGTACGTTCGCATTGGCGAAAGTACTGCACTTGAGAGCCTACGTAGGTTTGTTGCTGTAGTTGTTGAAATTTTTGGAGATGAATACCTCAGATATCCCAATGAGGCGGACACAGCACGCTTACTTGCATTGGGTGAGCAACAAGGATTTCCAGGAATGTTAGGGTCCATCGATTGTATGCATTGGGCGTGGAAGAACTGTCCATATGATAAACAGGGTCAGTACAAGGGGCATGTGAACAAGCCCACTATAATTTTGGAGGCTGTTGCTTCGAACGACCTTTGGATATGGCATACCTTCTTTGGAATGCCCGGGTCTCATAACGACATCAATGTTCTTCATAGATCTCCTTTGTTTGATAACCTGGCGGAAGGTAGAGCTCCAGAAGTGAACTATTCCGTTAATGGCCATGACTACAATATGGGTTATTATCTTGCAGATGGTATATATCCGTCATGGGCTACTTTAGTCAAGTCCATCACTCTTCCTATGGGGAACAAGAGGCAATATTTTGCCAAAGCACAAGAAGCAGCGAGGAAGATGGTCGAGAGAGCTTTTGGGGTTCTTCAATCTAGGTTTGCCATTGTTCGAGGACCAGCTCGTTTTTGGGACATTGAGACGTTAGCATTGATCATGAGGGCTTGTGTGATCATGCACAACATGATTGTGGAAGATGAAGGATTCGTGGTCGACCCTAACAAGCGTTTTGATTATGGTGGTGAGAATGTCCAACCTGCTCGTGGCCAGGGTACTCGTACACTTGATGAATATATTGAGGCGCAAAGAATGATCAGAAACAAGGAACCACACGTGCAAATGAAAGAAGACCTCATCGAACACCTATGGAACCATCATCCAGATTTATCCCATCTGCCCTTTTCCTTGCTTGGGTTTCTTGAGGAACATCATCTTTACCTTGTTGATTGCTGGTGCCTTCTTCATCTCTTGGCCTGGACACCTTTGTGGACTTCTGTTTTTTTGTTGGTTGCTGCTTGTTTATCCATCTCGGCAATTTCAATCCTCTTAGCTTTCCACTTGTCTTCTTCCTTCAATATGTTCCAACAAGGTAGAAGAGTAAATTGCTTTTTGTCCTTGTCTAATCCGGTGTACATCTTCGATGCTTCTGAAATCTGTCCAGGGAATTGGTCAATGTATATACCTTTTCAAAAAAAACAAATTTAAGGTACTGATTGAACACAAATTACATATATACCTTGTCTTGAATAGTTTGTCCACTCTGATTCCTACGCTCAACCGCCTCGTAGCAGTCACAATACTTGTTCACTTGATGCTGAATTGTAAGCTACCTATGCATAATCGAACTCTCTGTCCGCACAGCTTCAGTTTCCTTGTGCTCCTCAAAGTATGCACGTACTCTACCCCAAAATGTGCCACGAGCTTGATTGGCCCCGTTGATGGGGTCTTTGCTAATGTACAACCAGGCGGCGCATACAACTTCGTCTTCCTTCCAATGAAAATTTTTTGACCTTTTCGATCCCTTACTTGTACTGCGACTTGGCTACGCTTGCGCATCGACTTCTTGAGTGTCTTGTGTCATAGGAATGGTGAGGTCGTCCAAGCCTCCAACTTCAGCATCACGTCCATCGAGAAGAATGTCCAACAAAAAACCATCTCCATCCATTTCAACGAGTCTACAAAAAATATGACAAATGTGAACACGCCTATTACTACACAATTGAAATTACCCACACATCAACATGATCACCACCGATTGAAAACTCAGGAAAGAATATGTATATGCTGTATGAATGAATACTCAGGAAAGAATATATATATATACAATCATTACGCTAATCCAAGAACATGATCACCAACTACTGTCACAATTGCAGCACATATGATCTGTATTCTGTACGGCATATATTATCCTGCATGTGAGATACTACTATATACTACTATACCAGTATATGTGCATCTGATCCAAATACTAGTAGACTTGGCTGGATTGGAGGTGATCAGAGGCAGTTTTTCATGTCTTCGGCTAGGCGGCTTGCAGCGGACTGTGGCTGCTAGCCCTACTCGACAGATCTAGTCTGGTGCTGGGCTAGACATCATCGATACATGGCACAAGCGGAGGACCAAACCCTAAACCCTAGCAGCTGTCGAAGTTCGTCAATGGTGCAGGGGAAGATCACGGCCACATACTAGGGGTTGTTGATGCCGCGTCGCCGATGCAGCTAGGGAGATCGCGGCCGCCAGGGGAGGTGGAGTCCGTCGCCGCCAGGGGAGGTGGAGTCCGTCGCCGATGCAGGATCGCGAGGATTGGGGCGGGCGCGCGATCTTTATGGCGAGGGCTCAGCTGGGCGCGGGAAGGAGGAGGTGAAAGTTCGTCTCGCACGCGGGAACGATGCCAGCGACGCGCGGGGGAGGGATGCGGAGTGGAGTCCGCGCGCGGAAAGATACGCACGCGGAGGGGTAGAATGCCAAGCTCGTAAATTTGCCAACCTCATTTGCCAAGCTGTTGGAGAGGAATTTTGCATGTTTTGCCAAATTTTCAAGGATGCCAACCTCATTTGCAAAACTGTTGGAGTTGCTCTAAGATCATAAGAGAAATCTAGCGCTACACAGAAACCACTGCCAAATTGGTTTGGTCTTATATAATATTTCCAGATTGATTTATACTGGCATGCTAAAGTAGAGAACATAAACATAATCATCATCTAATTGTGGTAGATGGTGACCATTAAGAGGAAGGACTGCAGAACCCAATGCAGCAGCAGTGTTGAACAAATGCATTATTCCAGAAGTTACATGCAACTGACTTGTTCACATATAGTTAACGAAATGCACTCTACATGAGGCCGGTTGCATTCATAAGACATCATCAAGCATTCCAAACATTGCAAAGTAGGGAATAACATCGTGGTCAATGAGATGTCCCTGAACCAACCTTATCATTTTAGTTACACTGTTTAGTTGGACTAAATCTGGCTCCTTCGAGTGCTGCTAAGTTTGTGAATGGAATGCATTGATTAGAGGTTTATAGAAGTCTAGAACCCATCTTGATGACCAGATATGTATAGAAGTGTAGAACCCATGGCTTTGACTTTTGAAGCTGCATAAATAATCGCATTCCTAAAGGTGCACATTGCAAAACGCATGCATGCCAATAATTCCGAATTGAACCTTCCTTACGAGATATGCCGTGCTACTGTGAGCTACGGAATATAGGGGAAAGCGAAACAATGAATTGCAGCCTCGTATTGATGCAGGGTTTGCGAGTACAGTGATTCGACAGACAGTAGCTTCAGCTTTCAGTCCAGAACACTCAATCAGGCAGCCCCGTCAGCTGGTCACCTACCAAGCAACGCCGATCGCTACAAGCGAAACCCTAGAGAGACAGGACAGCGAGGGGGAGGCTTACTGGCTGGCTGCCGGCGCCGGCGCCGGCGGCAGCGTAGGCCGAGGACCGGTGCCCACCGCCGTCGGAGGATACGGAGGCATCGGCCGGACCGATGGGGGCAGGCTGTGGCGCCGCGGCGGCGGGAGGTTCGCCGGCGTCTTCCTCGTCGAAGGAGGGGTCATAGTCGTACTGTCGTAGGCGACGACCAGCGACATCGGGTCTCCTTTCAGCTCCATTTAGACGTGGGCTGTGGGCTGTGGGGCCAAGAAAAGCGAGCCCAATTGGAGTCTTATCTTAGCTTGTTTAGCAAAGCTGTGGGCTTTTTGGTAGGCCGAAGCCCAGTTTATTTCAACAGGCACAACAGCCCAGGTATGGGCCTAGCTTCCCTCCAATTTTTTTTTTTGAAAAAATAAACCAATAATTATGGATATGTTTAATTTTGGATCTAAATGGGCCTGGATGACAACACGGGATAAGTTTGATAAATGCTCATATATTTTACTCTTCTTTTTATAGAAAAACCATTTACGTGTAGGAGACTAGGGATGTGTTTGGTTTAGCTTATAGAAATTACTTCTGCTATCAAAAAGCAGAACATCAACCAGATAGGTGGAAATTGAAGTTATTTTTTCAGCCGCTGCTTTCATGTAATTTGGACCCTACTTTCAAGTTCTCTCTTTCCAAATGAACAAAAACAGAGAGACGTTACATAGCGGTTTCAACAGAGGCAGAGAGAGGGGATATGTTTTATAATTGTTTTAACCAAACAACTTAAAACTTTTCCACGGCATATAGTTCACAGTTGTTTTCCCATAACTCATAGATGAACAAAGAGACACTTGAAGTACCTAAAGTGGCTCATGTGCCCATCGTTCTCCAGCGAGTGCTCCTACAATGTGATCTCATCGCTGACAGGCTAGTAGATTGACATGTAGGGTGGGCCCAAAATGTAAGAGCCTTTAGACCAAGGGTCTGTTTGGTTGGCTTTCAATTCTTGCCCAACCAATATCATCGTAAACCAAAACTTAGGCTTGCCAAAATCAAGGTTTGCCGAAGTTAGGGCAAAAAAGCACGTGTGCAATTGGTTGAGTGTTATAACAATAGTAGAAAGCATCTTTTCTCTCTTATGCAATTCAAGAAGTTTCTAGAAACTTGCCAAAACTTTGGCTATAAACATTGGTGTGCCAATTCTTTGGCAATGCATCAATATGGTTTTGGTTAGGCAAAAATTAGAAGCCAACCAAGCAAGACCCCAAGTCTTAATTAACAAAAGCTTCCTTTGAATTGAATTGAAAAAAAAATGCAACATATCCAAGTAGACCTGCAATTACTGGGTTGTTAATTGGACCAACTCACCAACATAAGGTTCAGTGACCATGTCCACCAGTATGTTTGGCTCCTTAGCTTCCATTAAAAGCATGCTGTGGCTCCTTACCTTGCCTCCTTTTCTTTATAATTAAGTGGAACTATGCTTTTTGGTTATGATGCTTTCTCGATTTTCAGGGGCTCATCATGTATTTTGTTCAAATACCTCCAAATCTTAGGTACGGTCCTGATCGTTGAGCTGTGCTAGCCTAGCAATCTATTCTCTTTGTCCCATAATACTTGATCTTCTAAATTTCTACGTTTGTCACAAATTAGTTATCATTTCACTTTACAATGTGTCCTTTTCTTTTTCAATACATCTCTGTCATTATCTCTTTCCTTCTCGTTTCCCTACACACTACATTTTTCACTTCTTTTTAATTTTTGTCTCGAGAGCTAAAACATTATCGGTTATGGACGAAGGGAGTACCATAGTGGAGGTTGCAGCTGACAACCAAGATGAAGAAAGGGCTCAGGTCAGGAGCGTATGGACGGAGGGAGTACCGCGGTGGCGTGGTGGAGGTTGCAAATGACAACCAACTAACCAAGAAAGGAGCTCATGGGCGAACATGTGCCTGAGAGGGACGTCGGTATGTTTCGCCTCCGCGGAGCTGAGCTAGAAAGCTGCAACTGCAACTGTCCGTCCGGGAGGGGAGGATAGCGATACTTGCCCACTCCCGCATGTGATGTACATGCTCCTGTGCCAGTGTCAACGAAGACAGACAGCGATCAACTCCGTATGCTGCCATAGAATCGCATATGCCATATGGCCATATCAATATCCCCATCTCCGTCGTTGTAGCTGGCGCATCTGTATCGATCGTAGTCGCAGCAGTTCGTTTCATCACTCTATCTAAAAATGCCATCTTCGTCAACAACCAGCTCGGGAGGCAGCGAGCGAAGCACTGAAGCAGAGGCTTGTCCTGTCCGGCTGTCCCTCCCCTCTGCTCCTCCTCCCCCACTCCACTCCACGTCTCCGCTCCCGGCCGTCGCTCCCTTGCTCATTAATGGCGGGCACTGCATGGTTGGCGCCATCCATGCCCATCAATGCCTCCACCCACCTCCGGGCCGCCCCGCCCCCATCTATCTACTTATACAAGGCGATCGGGCGCTTGCTTCCAATCCAGCGCCGGCCGGGCCGTTGCGTCCAATCCATCCCCATCCCCATCCGCCACCCACCCCGCGCCCCTCCTCCTCACCCCAATGCCGGCTGCCGGCCAGCTCCGCCCCCGGGATCCCTGAGCTGGAGGTGGGTGGCGACGTAAAGGCAGCCGCTTGCGTTACTACTGCGGTTCATCTCCCTGCGACCCTGCTACACATCGGTGCCGTGCCGTGCTTGATTCTGTTGTGTGCTGTGCTTGCCGTTTCTTTGGTTTGTAGGTGGCGGTGGATGACCAGCTCTTGGAGTTTTTTTTTTTTTCCGAAAGCGTGCTTAGCACGTGCTTCATTAAGGGAAGTGGGAATCAAGGGCCGAAGGCCTGGTTGGCGAGTTGTCATAGACGCGATGGGCAGAACACATACAAAGATCACCGGCTCGAACGGTGGAGCAGCAAGGTCGTAGTGCTGGCTAGACTAATTGTGCGAGAGCTAGGGAAGCCCGCTAGGCAGCAGGCGTGAAGAGCGGCGCGAAGCTCCGGAAGCCGGCCGCTATCCTCGGAGTTTTGTGAGGGGAGGATCGGAGGGCGTTGCGTTAGGTCCGCGGTTGGTGAGCGGCGGTCGGAGCGGTCTCGCGCGCGGCGGGGTCGTTGGGTGATGCAGGAATCGGGCTGTGGGAGGGTGGGAATACCTCGCGCTCGCGCTCAAGGTGCTTGATTAATTACCTGGCGGAGCGCGCGCCTGTGAGCCGAGCCCTTCCTGCTGCACTGACTACTGGGCTCGGGAGATGGTTGGGAGCGTGCACGTCAATGGATCGGTCCACGGTGGCAATGGCACGGCCACGGAGGAGCGGCTGGACGAGCTGCGCCGGCTGCTGGGCAAGTCGGAGGGGGACCTGCTCAAGATCGTCAGCGTCGGCGCCGGCGCGTGGGGCAGCGTCTTCGCCGCGCTCCTGCAGGACGCCTACGGCCATTTCCGGGACAAGGTGCAGATACGGATCTGGCGCCGCCCGGGCCGGACGGTGGACCGCTCCACCGCGGAGCACCTGTTCGAGGTGATCAACTCCAGGGAGGACGTGCTCAGGCGCCTCATCCGCCGCTGCGCCTACCTCAAGTACGTCGAGGCGCGGCTCGGAGACCGCACGCTGTATGCCGACGAGATACTCAAGGATGGGTTCTGTCTGAACATGATCGAGACGCCGCTCTGCCCTCTCAAGGTCGTCACCAACCTGCAGGAAGCCGTCTGGGATGCCGACATCGTCGTGAATGGGGTGCCGTCCACCGAGACGAGGGAGGTGTTTGATGAGATCAGCAAGTATTGGAAGGAGAGGATCAGTGTTCCAGTGATAATTTCCCTCGCCAAGGGAATAGAAGCCTCGTTGGATCCAATACCTCGTATCATAACACCTACTCAAATGATTAGCTCTGCAAGTAAGAATCTCTCTTGTCTCTATCTTGTCCCTGCCTGCGTATTTTAAACTGAAAGATTCAATCACCAAGTTTCCTTGAATGATCTTGGTTGCTGGAAAAAGATTACGATTTGTGGCATGCATGATAAGCTGCTTGATCAAAGTGTTTGTAGTACTTGGCTATTTGCTAGTGTAATGTTTAAATAACAGAATTCCTAATCAGTGTACAAAATGCTATCATGTGGAAAGCTCATTTCTGTACTGAACGATCTCTGACAAACGAACCTGATGTCTATAGTCCACGCTAATAATTTCAGTACGTTACCTGCCATGTTACCATAATTAGATACAGTAATTTGCATAATTAATGCCATTAGCTGCTTAACACAGTTAGTTTGTGGACATGCGCTCACCAACAACTCATTCGTTCCATAATTAGTATCAAACTTCCCCTCCATTTGGAGACTGCACTGAATTCTGATTGATGTGTTTACCTGTCTGTTCCAATTCTCTTTTTACCATTATGAATTTATGGTGCGTTTTATGTATACTGGAAGCCAAACACACCAGAGTTGTAAATTTATGGCATGATCATGACATGGTGCTTATCTTCAATTCCCTGATGGAAGGAATGGTCTTGATCTTGACATGCATCTGGTTCAAACATATAATCAGTTTTTTTGTGCTTAATGCTTGGCCTGCATATTTGAGGTCAACAGTACAGGCTGATATTTTTTAGGAATGCATTGCAGCTGGAGTTCCAACTGAGAATATACTCTATCTTGGAGGACCAAACATCGCCTCAGAAATTTATAACAAAGAATATGCAAACGCTCGAATCTGTGGATCCAACAAGTGGAGGAAGCCTCTTGCTAAGTTTTTGAGACAGCCACATTTTATTGTCTGGGACAACAGTGATCTTGTCACTCATGAGGTGATGGGTGGTCTGAAGAATGTCTATGCAATTGGCGCTGGTAAAACTAACTTCTATGTCTTTTTAGCTGTCAACATTATTGTACAGTTGGCATTCTATTCCTTGATGTTGAAGAAAACATGACAAACATGGGAATGTTTTTCTTTGCTCAAATTTTAGTTGATCTGTTAATGGTCATCCATCGGGCCATCACCATGACCTCTTTGCCTGAATAGAGTATGGGTGTGGTACACTAAAATCAGAAGGGCTCCTTAGAATTTTCATAAGAAAAGAAACAATCGAATTGGAAAACCTTGAAATAAGGATATAGAGTTAAATGCTTGCTGCTTACTTTTCGATAATTTCCATTCTTTGAATGAACGTTGAGTACCTATTTTATCATATTTCTCTTTATGTTTCAGGAATGGTGGCAGCTTTAACAAATGAGAGCGCAACAAGCAAATCTGTATATTTTTCTCATTGCACGTCAGAGATGATATTCATTACTCATTTGCTGACAGAACAACCTGAGAAACTCGCTGGTCCTCTGCTGGCTGACACTTATGTAACTCTCCTAAAAGGTCGCAATGCATGGTATGGGCAAATGCTTGCCAAGGGAGAGTTGAGTCCTGACATGGGCGATAGTATCAAGGGAAAGGGAATGATTCAGGTAATATAATGAATGTGTTTTTTTTTTTGTCTTGTATTATTGTTTCTGAGAATCTCTTTAACAAATGTTGAAAGGCGAAGATTGCAGAAGATGTCAAAATTTCCTAGATATTTGATAACCCTGACATTTGCAACCATCCCTTTTCCTTATTTGCACGGTGTGATTCACCGTGATCATTTTGTCATTCCATTGGACAGGGTGTCTCTGCCGTTGGGGCATTTTTTGAGCTGCTTAGTCAACCCAGCTTAAGTGTGCAGCACCCAGAAGAAAACAAGCTGGTTGCTCTAGCTGAGCTATGCCCAATCCTGAAGAGGCTTTACAGAATACTGATAAAAAGGTTTGTGCTATGTATCACCATTACTCTCCACATAACTGGAGAAATTTACAGTGTGCTTGAGGAGTGAAAAAGTGACCACTTCTCAATCATGCATTTAACTGCTTTCATTTTACCCTTCTGATATATACCTGACTTGTGAGCAGGGAGCTCCCAGCAAGGGACATTCTCCAAGCCCTGAGGGATGAAACGATGAATGATCCTCGGGAAAGGATTGAGATGGCACAAAGCCATGCATTCTACCGCCCGTCTCTCCTTGGAAAACCATGATCTAGTTAGTCCTGTAAATTAGTAGAATATAAACGAATGCTGCATGAAATCGAACTCACCAAGCTTGCCAGATCATTCTTGATCGAGCTTGGAGCAGGTATCTCCGCTGTGCTTGCTGTCCTGTGTCCGAGCTACATGGGGCTTTGTTAGTTGTCCAATTCTTTGTGCTTCCTCATTGCCATGGTGTACAAGAGATTACTAAATCAATAAATGCTCTAAGTTCATATCATATAAACACCCAGTTGAGAGTACCCAAGGAAGATTTCTTGCTGGAAATTGGCATCGTGCAATGTGTTGTGTGGGTGTGTGAGTGTGTCTGATTTTCACAGTCAAGCTGGGTTTGTTTGCGGATGCTTTTCTCAGTTTTCTGCAATATTCCTGCAACATAAAGAACTCACAAGATGAGAAACTTGCCCGTTATGTGCTGGCTGGCAGATATGTAACTCTCCTAAAAGAGCACAATGCTTGGAACATGCCAATGGTTGCCAAGGGAGAGAATTAGTCCAGGCATGGGTGTTAATATCAAAATGCTATATAACATTATCAGTACAAGAGATTCCCTTTTTATGTGACTAGATGGTTCAAAGAAAAATGTCTTCCTGGAAATTACTATTTTGTGGCGTCTCAGACCGTATATTTCCTTGAGTAGAAGGCCATGTGTACGTTTTAACGTTTATTATTATATTCATCTTGTAAATAAAACACTACTATTTATGTTGGCTTTGGAAAACCTCTGGCTCTAGCGCTAGTTCAGAGGAAAAAAACCCCCCGACATTTTTTCCATTATATACGCGGTTTCGTGCTTTCGGCCCATATCCGGCTTGATAAGGCCCACCGAGCCTCGGATATTTCCTGTCTCTCCTTACCCAACGCCAGTCAGTCACCACTCCGGCCTCCGGGAACTACCCACTCGATCCTCCACATCGCCACCGCATCCGAACTCGGAAGGCGAAGCCGAAGCCGCGGCGCGGATCGAACGATGGCGGCGGCGCTGGAGCAACTGAGCAGCAGCAAGATGTTCGACGGCTTCAACCTCCGCTTCCGCCACCAGAGCGCCACCCTCGGCTGCGCCATGACCTTCTCCATCTACATGCCCCCGTCCCCGGCGTCCAACATACCCGTCAGTGCGCCGCCGCCCTCGCTCCCCTATCCTCCGTCTCTCTCTCTGGGCTAATCTGTGCTGTGGAATGTGCGGTGTCGTATGGATGCTTTGCAGGTGCTGTACTGGCTCTCGGGCCTCACCTGCAACGACGAGAATTTCATCATGAAGTCCGGCGCCCAGCGCGCCGCTGCCGCCCACGGCATCGCCCTCGTCGTGCCTGACACCTCCCCACGTATGTCGTAATCGAATCCCCTGCTCCTTCTCGCTGACAGCGTTATGTTTCTAGGGTTTATGCGTGCCCATCTATGTGTCCGGTCCGGAAGCGTGGTGCGGTTGCAGAACAGGATGCTTAACCTTGAGAATCGTAATCTCGCTAGTGGCAGGGTTTATTTGTTTCCCTATTTGTTTTCCTCTTCCAGTAAGTGGCGGTCTGGCATCTAATGTTTGCCTGCATAGTCTGGCTGACTGCCAAATTCCAATGTGTAATGAGAGGCCCATTTAGAATCGATTGTGTTATCACTCCTTTTGATAGGTTCAGAATGCAACTGGTTCCTACCCTAAGTGCAAAGACCAGAGTTTACATTTCGAAGATGTTAGTAGGCACATTTTTTGAACTCAGTGGACCTAATGTTTATCAAATGCTGTTCAACTTAAAAAGTGTCACCTCCCCAAAAGGGAAGAGTAACCTGACATGCTCCCCTGTTGGGGATTTGTCAAGCAAGATTGTAAAGTTCATAGAGGTATTTGTTCATTGCACTACCACCTACTAGTGACTTTTCACTATTGTTGGTTCGTTTACGTGGCCTAACCAGCAATTGTATGGTAGAATTTAGAGCCATTTATTTACATGAGGTAGTTCATCCTTTGTTATCTTCCAATTAGTTTTAATACCAGAATCATCCTTTCTATGACTTGTCAGGACTTGTATTGACTTGGATTCCCAAAAATTGATTCGATAAATACAATGCTGGTGGTATATTATAGAGCTCAAGGAACAAGGGTTTACTACCCAAAGTGTTAATATCTTACAGGCTTGTGTTATAAGTAATCCCACCACTGTAGGTCCTTTTTCTGAGATTGGTATGAGCAAGACAATCTTATCAGCAGAAGAGTCAAAGACATCCCTAGAGCACTTAGGAATTGCATTTTTTCCCTTCTCCCCAGCCTAAACATAGTTGACAGTTTAGAGCTGAGTTTAGTGACATAACCAAAGTAACGATTGTTTCCCAATTTACCATATAACTAGGGTCCTGTTGATCACTTACTGCAGTGTATGTTCCTTTTCCTGCAAATGATTTGTAGTATGCTCAGTGTGGTCTCATTTCTATTAATAGTCTTCACCTTTCATCATTGAGAATACACTTTATATATGCTTATTATTTTCTTACTGTAAATGGGTTCTGTTTTCTCATTGCTCTTTTTCTTTGGCTTATGCAGGGGGTTAAATATTGAAGGAGAGTCAGACAGCTATGATTTTGGTGTTGGTAAGGAATGGAGGATTCTAACTAAGATAATCTTGCTATAAGTTTTGCATTTTGCACAAATATATGGTCTCCTGACTTGGCAAACTTCATTAAATGTCCAACTTGACAAGTTACCCCGTGATGATTTCATTATGCCATCATCTGCCTCCCTTAATTGTTACTTAACAAATTCAGCAGGAGCTTATAGGCTAGTCTGCATTAGCTCACTATATGATGGTACCTTTTTTAGGCAATGCATGAGTTTTGTTGTGACTAGTGTGACATGTATAAGTCTGTTGCATTGAGCAGCACTTTCACTAGTCCAATCTGTACTAAAGTTAATGGTGAACCATGGCACGATAGATTGCTGCATGATATATGATTTGTGTATGGTAATATCGAATCTCATGAACACAAATACAGTTGAAACAAAGGCTAAATAAATTTCTATAATCTACTCTAACTTCCAAGGAGAATGGTTGCTAAGTGCATAACCTAAAGCCATTTGCCCTTGGTTGGTGTGCTTATCAGTTATTGCATATGCCGTAGTCATGCATTAGCTATGCAGTATGGATACGGATACGTGTATCATTATTGGAAGGATACGGATACGGCAATTTCCTGAAAAAAACCGATACTCGGATATGTTTTACTATTTTAAAATAAAAAATATTAACACATATTAAAACTGAATAACAATAAAATGTTGCAATCTACTTAACTACTTAAGTTATATTATTACAGCACAGCTGGTCTCAAGTCTGTTCTCAAATTCTCAAATATAGTATCTCAAATTTAGGAAATTAATGAAAGGCATTCAGGCTTGCAACTCAGGCTCGCATCAAGTTCCTATTTCCCCATTTGTCTCATTTGTTTCATTCTCATCCATAACATCAAGTCGCAGATCATCCAAACCAAAAGACACAACTTGCAATTTAGGCTCATCAAGGGAGAGGTCGGCCACTTCGAGAATGCCAATACCACCAAGTGAATCAAAAGAACCTCCTCCCACATCCCTCATCCTTGTCTCTCCTGCCTTGTATGCATCAGTTCTTCTTGACAGATGCCTCAGATTTGAGTGCACAAAGACCAAATCTTGAGCACGCTCTGGAGTTAAGGAATTTCACTTGACACTATGGATAAAGCTATATGGGTGGCTGACGAGCAGGGGCTAGGCGTCACCAAGCGTGTTTGTTGGAGGCGGCACGAGGTGCGGGCAGGCGGGCGGGCATCGGGGGCAGAGGGAGATAAGAGAGCATTGTTTCTTGCTGGGCTGTGCCTTATCGAATAGACAGATATGTATCGGCCCACATACTCAATATTCAAAAATCGGATACTCCGAAGATATGCATTGCCCGCGTATTCGTATGTGATACGTATCCGATACGCGATACGAGGCCTCAACCATGTATCCATGTAACACAGTGCATTAGTACATCTTTCTTTACCTATTTATCTACAGTGATCTACATCAGCACTTTTGTCGAATCATTCGTAACAAAAACTTATCAAATTACAAAAGGAGAATAGCAATCATGGAAAAAAAAAAAATTGGGTTCAATTACAGTGCACCGAACTTGGTAACCTATCGATAAAGTAACAATAGAAGCAACATTCAATTTGTAAGAACTAATCACGCCAATTCCATATCGATGTATCTAGTGGTCTGGATAGGAACACTGCTTACTTCCTGTATCCCAGATGGTTAATATTTTAGAGTTCTAGCTATACAGTATACAATTCGTTTGTGCCTTTTACCAATTATTGTGATCTTGTACCATGGTCACCCTGTGTTAACCTAGGTAAATTTTAGCATATTTGAAAATGAGTGTGCAGTGTCGCTTTGTTTGTAGTGCCCTGTGCATGCTCATGGTTATACAGTAGCTGTGCATGATGAGATTCTTTTACGTGTTTTGAGGAAGAGATGGAAATTGGCACCCTTATTATACCAAGTAGGTTATAATAGTGCTTTAGTAGTAAGGGGAGGTCCATTACATTCTGTCAAAGCATTACTGTTGGAACATTGTGCAAACACTACTTGAATTTGGTATACACTAGCAGCTTGGATGATTTTATTTCTGCACACTCATTCAGTATGGGTTCGAGTCGCGGTCTCCTCGCATTGCACAGGCGAGGGTAAGGCTTGCCACTAACACCCTTCCCCAGACCCCGCACAGAGCGGGAGCTCTCTGCACTGGGTACGCCCTTCATTCAGTATGTTAACATTTTCTTTTTGTTACTAGGTGCCGGGTTTTATTTGAACGCCACAAATGAAAAGTGGAAATATTGGCGCATGTATGACTATGTTGTGAAGGAACTTCCAAAAGTTTTAAGTGACAACTTTGAACAGCTTAACACTTCACAGGCATCAATTTTTGGGCACTCAATGGGAGGGCATGGTGCGCTGACAATTTACTTGAAAAACACTGATAAATACAAGGTACTCTTAGCATGCCATTTTATTTAGCCTAGATAACCTTTTCAAGTTTGTTCATGACATTTTGTACTGATTCTCACCCTGAATTTTGGGTTTATCTTATATTTCAGTCAGTATCAGCATTTGCTCCAATTGCCAATCCAATAAACTGCCCATGGGGTCAGAAAGCATTCTCAAATTACCTGGGCCCGACTAAATCAGATTGGGAGGTATTCTCCTCTTTAGAAATCACTTATCTCTGAGACATGTTGGATACTTATAAGTACCTGATTTGTGTAGGAATATGACGCAACCTGCCTGATTAAAAAGAACAGCAACGTTTCCACTCCTATCCTAATTGACCAGGTACAGTGTTGGCCATGTATTCACTCATGTCCTGTCTCTGCTATCACGTTGTTGCTAGCCAAGCTCGTTTGTTGTCCTATATTTTGAAAACATGGAAGGAACTATTAGCCTTTTGAAAATGAGGAACTATGATTTTAAGTCGAGTGTGGTGGCACATGCCCGTGTGGCCAAACCACCTGCTTGCCTGTCCACACATGGTTTTTTTCTTTTTTTAATGGGTTGACTAGTCATTTAGTGCTTACATTTGATATCTCTCATTCTTGAAAATGAAATCTCACCCAGACCACCCAGCCCGTATCAGAACAAATCCAGGATACATCTGAAAATCTACTTAGCATTATAGCTGGATTTTTTTGAGATACCACTGAATCTGACTCAAGTAGCTTTACTCAGATGTTTGTGTCAACATTATTGAGTTGCCATCCTGGATAATAGGTAGGTGGGAAGTTGATGGCAAATGGGGACCTTAGAACATTTTTTTCAATTGGGCTGTTCACGTTTTCTTTGTTACGCTGTTGCACGTGATTGAGTACAGCCATTTTGATGGTCTTCTACACCGTGGGTTGGATTAGCTCATCAAACGATGAGACCTCTACTTATTCACGTAGCATTTGTAGGACTCCACACATGAGCATTATTCAGAGCCTATCAGGGTCACTTAACAGTTATTAACAGTAGCATAGATCCCTACCGCCTGAATGGATTCATTTAATTTAAAATGCCATGTTTTGATTGAACCGGTTAGAAGTCTAGTCGGCTAGGCTCCTAAAAGAGTAGAGTAGGGTCAAGCTTGTCAACTGTTTCCGATAGATTTTAGAGCTCATAACTATCATACATCACCCACAGTGTGACGCTGTTTGGAGAAAATTAAATATCTGATGAGTCCTGGTGCAAGCGGCAGAGTCTTACCGCCTGTGACCGGAAGGTCCCGGGTTCGAGTCGCGGTCTCCTCGCATTGCACAGGCGAGGGTAAGGCTTGCCACTGACACCCTTCCCCAGACCCCGCACAGAGCGGGAGCTCTCTGCGTTGGGTACGCCCTTATGAGTCCTGAGGCTGCTACTATGTAGTTTTTTGTTTATCTCAGAGTAGAAGTAAAAAGGGTTATTTCTGTGGGAGTTCTTATCCGCTATGCCCTTTTGTTTAGGGGGATGCTGACAAGTTCCTGGCTGAGCAGCAGTTGCTACCTCACAACTTCGAGGAGGCGTGCAAGGCTGTAGGTGCTACTCTGATCTTGCGCATGCAGCCTGGATATGACCATTCCTACTATTTCGTGGCTACGTTCGTGGACGATCACATTGCGCACCATGCTCAGTTTCTCAAGAGTGCCTGACTGCAGAAGTCTCCTGTAATGTGTAGTGTGAGGAAGACAAGGAGGCAGAGCTCTGAGGTGTCTGCTTGCAGCATGTTACCCATGCCGATAGTCTTCTCTTGTCTGCCAGCTTGAGGTGAACAATACACCCACATGCAAAATAAGATGAAAGATTTGCTGTTCCTGTCCATTGAGATGCTCGAATGGGACTGATGTTGCATTGAGTGTAGTTTCCTTGTCATTCGCTATGCACAATTATTGGCCCTGATGCTGCCATTTCTTTTCTGGTGCAAGAAATGATTGCCCGACTGTGCAGTTGACTCTTCTTCGCAATCTGCAGGGGGAGCAAAAATCGGTATGATCAGAGCCTTGTTTATAAGTTGGTCTCGTTGTTGGCCTTTGTCAATACGTATTGTGCCATGGTTCCCCTTGGTGCTGTCTGTAGTAGGTGTTCCTGTGTGCTGGGTTCAGTTACAGCTCTGCCGTAGTATGTCATATTTGCAACATGACGCAACGATGATGTATCTTGTGTGAACCTTTCTGGCCGAGCTGGATGCCGGACCATGAGGACGACGCGTCGACGCCAGGCCAGAGTCACCTTCCGTCCGGTCACTGTTGTAGGGCGGGGAAGGCCTAGGGGGCTAGGAGGAGACAGCATTTGGCATGCATCAATGAATGAAGTTGGTGCCTTCGCACCGACACGTATCTGCATCATGGATATGGATGGTGACGATCATCTCTCGATTCAGAATTTCAGACATGGTCCTCCCGTCCACTCTTGAAGCGTTCAAGATGTCCTGCGATCTGACCAGGAAAACTGCGATCTACCTGCCAGTGCCAGTCATTCTGGTGCTCTGTGTTGCCCTCGACGAATCACGAATGGCAGTAGGTTTAGGACGCTGGCTGCTTCAGACAGTCTATCTGTTCTCTGTTGGGCCTGAAACGCAGCCACGAACGACATGGGCACTGTACCTACAGCATCTTGAGCAAAGTACGGAAGATTGCGTCCAACCACCGGGACCAAGCTAAGCTAGCAAGCTCTCCTCCGCCTGCCCCGGCTCGCCGGACTCGCCGCTGGGCTGTCCATGGCACGTCTGGACTGGACCCCCGCCCCCCGCGGCCGGACCGGGACCTGGGCATCATGGCAAAATTTTGTCATTCCGTGCAGGAGCGGCTACCAGTCGACAGTCGTCGTGCTTCAGGCTCTCGTGAGTCCGTCACGGCTCCTTGCACGGACGGCAGTTGCAACTACCTTGTGAGCCAGCATCGTCCAGGAAGGGTCGAGCACTCGAGCTCGAGCACATGTTACTGCGACTGGGCACTGTTAGAGTATATTTTGGAATCCCAACTACGGTACTTTAGTTTACAATTTATTATTGTGGTATAATTCCGTGATATCCTTCCTTATCCAAAATCACTTAGGGCTCGTTCGGTCCCTTCGCAACAAGTTCTTGGAATTGGATTGGAATGATTCACTAATTTGTATAATCTTGATAAACTGAAATTGTTCCTAGATCCAATCCAGGCTAACGAACGGTCCACGCCTAGTCTTCCTCAGCTCTGGCACGGCACAAGCCTCATCTCCTCCACTCCCATTTAGGTTAGAGGAGGGAGCATCTGCGGCCTTAGAAGAATGGGGACTTGGCGGTGGTCGCGGTTCAACGGATGGTGAGTGGAGCAGTAGGTGGCCGGAAGGCGAATCCTCCGATACGTATTAGGGAGACGGCAGGGGTGAACACACTAGATGGTGTGGCCAATGGTGGTGGGGCGGGTGGAGACGAGGTTGAAGATGAGTGGGAGTGGGGGGAGGTTGAAGTTGAAGGGGCAAGGTTGAAGATTAGCATTGGTAAGACGCCTGCATGCTAGGCATGTTTCATATAACACCAACTAAACAAGCCCTTAAGCTTCCGTTGGCTGCTGCACATCTCTTCTGCAAGCTATCATCTTCCATGATGTGGAACGGCGTGACCCCAAACCACCAACCTACACGCTGCTTGGAGAGTTGGAGATTGCCCATGAGAATATGAGGATCCTTTAGGGGCAACACCACCTCGTTCTAAAGCTCACACCACTAATCCCGTTGATTGGCTACCCTAAGGAGTCTTTTGTTCATCCGCTGATTAGAAATTTCTCTCTTGTCGATCGTTGACTTGCGTTTCTTTTGATTTTTCTGATCTAAGATCGGTTTGACTCACTTGCAACCTATCATATTTGTGCGTATTTACTCTGGTATCATTGTCAACCACACCAGCCACCTCATCATCTTTGTGTGCTCGGTATAGTGGGGCTCGCGGTCACGTTGTTTGTGTCCTTCACCGTCTTCCTTGAGCACCATCGCCACCACAACACAACAATCATGCGGCTTTGCTCCTCCCACCTTCTCGTGCATCTAGCACTCGTAACTAGTGCACGCTCCCTGACAATGTTCATATTCTCCGCTAAATGCACCATGTATCGGCACCTTCTACTTGACGTAGTTTTGCACTGTAGTCGTCGTCGAGGCCTGATCCACTAGCCCCTTAGGCACTGGCATGTGGTTGTTATGTCTCTCACTTGTACGTTCAATATTAGAAAGACGGGTTCGTCGGCAATTATGTTTCTGGGCCTGGCAAACTAGGTTTATGTGCGGCTACCTCAACATCAGCTACCTTTTTTTTTTTGCGACTTAACATCAGCTACCTTACTACAACTACGTTGACCACAACTATCTTAAGCATGATATCCTCAACCACTACACGCCTTTGCGCTCAACTACCTCGACATTGGCACAAATGTCCACCATTCGTTTACGGAACCTCGTTGGCTTCCACTTGATCCACAACATTTACGATGCATCGACAGTTACTAATTACTATAGCTGATGTTAGTTTACAACATTTGGAACTATATATATATAGGTGATGTTAGTATAAAACATTGGGCTTCTTCAATAATCTCACGAATGTTATAATATATTTGGTAATCCCTAATATTTGGAACCGCCAGTATTGAGCTCTGCTGTACCAGTGATATGTCTGCCGCAGACATCAATGGCACCAGCGAGACTGACATGAGCTTCCATGTGCCCTCTCTGTGTCGGCGTGTGGTGCGTGTCTGCACTGCTGCCTTCTTGCTGCATCAATTGTGTCCAAGGGCATCACACATTACTGTCGATGACGACGGATGGAGATGGAGATGTGGCAAATCACAGATCAGGTGCTTTGCTTTACATGAAGAGTTGCATCATCAGATTTCTGTAGTGGAAATAATACGTAGCATAGCTTTCTCATGATCTCGATCTTCTTAGGTCACGCGAATCTCTTGGTGCTCAAGCCTCCCGGCCAATATAATGCAAGCATCATGCAGTCCCAATTATATACGCTGCCCAGACAACATGATGCGACAACAATACAAATAGATTCTCAAAAGAGAGATCCACTGTTGCTGACCCATTATATTCACCTTCGCCTTTACCCAGCACAGCAGCAAAAAACTAAAGTGCAGGAAGGAGAAAGCTAGCAGAAGGGATCGGAGACGGAGACGTATGGTCATGGAGCCATGGAGGAGAAGCTAGCTGCACTGCACTGCAAGTAGAAGCACTGTGGCGTGCGTGTAAAATGTAGGAGAGGATGGCAATTTCAGGCAGCATGGACGACGACGACAGGCGAGACAGGGGGGGCAGGGTTGGCGGAGTGTAGCGAGATGGAGAGACATGGGCTGGCGACTGGCGTAGTAGGCATAGCCCTGCCCTATGCCCTAGCTAGATGCTAGCCTCCAGCTGCTGCTGCTGGCTGCTCAGCACCCATCTGTTTGCGCATTGCTTCATCATCCCATCTCTTTCCTTGCACCGCCTCTGTCTCTGCAATAGTGGATGCTTGATGCTTCGTTCTCTCGCCCATGCATTTTAGCGATCTGCTGCATGCATGCCCCTACCTAGCTCCTGCACCTGTCCTCACCTACTGTTAGCTTGGTGGCACTAATAAGAAGGATCATAGTCCAGATTGCCATTACGCGTGCCGTTGTCTCGTGGCAACTCATGGGTGATAAGATTGGTGACAATGGCATTGGGCCAGTTGTATCAACAACTCGTGAGTCGTGACCTGTCATGTTCATCAGGTATCATTTAGGAGGAGCATGTCTTCAGGTAGTATTGCATGGGGTGTTCGGATGTTAATAGAAAAATAAATTACAGAATCCGTCAGTAATTCGCGAGATGAATTTATTAAGCCTAAGTAATCCGTCATTAGTATATGTTTACTGTAGCACAACGTTGTCAAATCATGGACTAATTAGGCTTAAAAAATTCATCTCGCAAAACAGTCTCAATCTGTGCGTTTAGTTTCGTAAATAGCCTATATTTAATACTCCATGCATGCGTCAAACATCCGATGAGATAACGACTAAAGTTTAGGAGGTGGAACCAAACACCCCCATATTATGTGGTATGGGTCTAGATTCTTGGCGAGCCATTGTGTTGGAGTGAAATTTCTACATACAGTAGACTATATTCTCAACAAGCAATATTGTCAAGATAAATCTTCGAGAAGTGAATTTCAGCTAGTTGGGTGCCTTGTGGAAAATGTCTATCTGGATTCAAGTCCTCAACTTTAACGTGGGTGTTTACATTTTCTTAGATTATTCTAGAATTTAGCGGTATTATATTCTTTCAGTGGTAGAAGACAATGTCTCTCTCGACGACGATGTGTCTATGGTGACTCGTCAATCTCAAGATTTACCGTCTTAATCTTTTAAAGTATCTATGTCTGTTAAAAAAGAAAAGTAACATCATCAATCTTAAAATCTGTCAGCTCAGTCTTTGAAACGTCTGCCTCTATAAAACAAGATAAATCTTTGAGAGTTATTGTCAATACGCTGGCAAGCAAGCAAGACGTTGTGGGGCTTTCTTCATGTGTTATATAAAATATTTGGTTATAGCATGAAGGATGGCACAAAAAGGATCTCCCACAATTGCAGTACAGGTCATGCCCCCTTTGGTGTCAAGTAGTACTACTATTTGGACTGAAATGGAGTACATTATTGTC